AGACGGTGCAAATCCCCATTGGGGGGCGATTTAAATACGGACGTGTACCAGGGCTATTTTCGCGGAAGTGTGAGAAGGTAAGAACTTCTCCGAAAGCAAATCTCCGTGCGCACGTACACGAAAAGAACCCACTCTCAACACTCACAGGACGTTCCGAAGAGTAATTGAATGTTTGTCTTCCCTTTGCGTTTAAATGTGAAATCAAATCGTGGAACGTGAAGAAACGTAAGATCTTGAAAGAAAAATTTTACATTAAATTTAATTTCGCAAAATAACATTGAAAAAAAGTAATATTTTGAGTCAATGATTGAATTTTTTGTAAAGATGAAAAAATATATTATTCAAATGTAGTTAATACTCTTTTGTTTATCAATTACTAGATGATAATATAAGCTTAACCCCTTTACGTAGAATGAAAGCATTGTTGCTATCCTGAGCCATTTTAGTCCCCGAGGGTCGCTTGTCACACGTTCCTTCCATAGAGTGAAGATAATTCCAGTCGACACTTTCTATGAATAGTAAACTACGATAAACGCAAAGCCGTCGGCTTCCTCACACTTCTCCGACTAGACCGTGGAAGAAGTAGCCTCAATGGCGCCCGAAAATGATGATAATAACGCAATTACAACCTGGTCGAATGTGCCTATTACTTACGCTATTACTTAATACGAAATGCTAGAACATACATTTATCACATGATGAAAAGATAATATTTGATATGAAATGGTATTGCATGGAGTGCAAAGGATGGCAAAGCTGTGGAGGCGCTTTTGCAAACAAAGGCATTTCAATAGCCGGCGACGGCCATTGCGACCGGCAATTGAGAATTATGTCCTTTAGGGTAATTTATTTAGGTGTCCCTTGTTGCCACCACGCTTCCAGCTCCAACTCGCTTTAAGTGTCATACGTAAAATGGGAGAAAAGAAGGAATAAATTTGCCACAACGTGATTTACGGTTTGCGATAACTTTCAGATACAAATATGAATCAACATTTATTATTTCTTCAATCATAACCTTAATAGTATATAAAGTATCAAGTGTATAAAGTATCAACGGGGACTTTACTAGTAACAACGTTTTATGCTGCACTGTAAGCAAATGCGCAGGCGCAAGCTCCACCCCGTGACTAAAGCTCGTGACTAAAGTACTTTTATCACGGCTGTGGCCGTCTGTGTTTAAAATATCACTTTTTGTGTCTCAAAATCGTGGAAAATTTTACGCTTTAAAGGAAATAGAAAAAATATTTACTTAATATTTACAATATAAATCAATATAATTTTAATTGATATTTGCATTTAGAGGATAACTTAAATTATAATAGAAGGGTTATCAAATAATATATTTGCATCTCATCGACCTCATAGAAACTATCCGGTATTTCATTTCGGATTGAATTGGGGAAATGCAATAATCTTGGGTTATTATAATAGCCGTTAACAGTTCCCGGAGTTTGAATGTTACAGGTCACGAAAATCGAAACACGATGAAAACAATCAAGCGAACTGAACCGCTGGGAAATATATTAGATGTGTTGCGAGGAAAATTGCTCAATTATAAAAGCAAATAAACCGAAAATATTTGTAAATATATGTTGTGGGCGCACATTTAATCGTTTGGTAAATTCGCAAATTGTTTTTTTTTTCCTTCGCATTTCATTTTGTAAAATGCGTAAGCGCCCTGGTGCAAAAAAAGCAATTAACACAAACTGGAGAATTTACCCCTCGCGTGCATCGGCAGGGAATTATAAAATGGGAGTGTGCTAAAACCAAGTATATTTAATACCATGAGGTTTTTGTTTTTTTAATTACGTATGCATACATGAAATATGCTTTTAATAAAAATGCAGCGTGGAATATGCGGTGGAGTAAAAAAAGCGTCCTGCCTGATCTCTGGAAAATTATGCGTTTCTCATATACAGACAATAGCAATGCACATTCTTTAGAAATTTCTCGAAAAATGATTCAAGTAATAATTAATTAAACAAAAATCCTTATAAAAGCATTAAAATGAAGTCGAATAACTTTGGAAATTAATAATTTAAAGTATTTGTAGGTTATCCTCTTGAGAAGAAGTTTGGTTAGGAGATAGATTTACAATTTCCAAATGTAAATCAAAATGTAAATTGCAAAGTGCACTTTCATTATACTCTTCTTTGTTAATCATGCCTATAGATTTCCAGGATTTCCACTTTTCCACACTTTAAATGCGATTGCCATGATGCGATGAAACGAAACCATTTCCGGTAATGAAGGAGTTAAGTTTAAGCGTTTCGAGTTTCCAACCGACCATACTTTATTTACTTTAGCACTCTAACCACGCATAATCTCATGATTTCCTATAGAGTTTTATCCGTTTTTAATTTATTTTTGTAGAAAAATCAACCCACAAAGTGACCAAAATGTCTAAACTGGCTGAAACTGAAATTTCAATTAAGTGATGTTCATATAAGGGTGGAAAATTTACGCGCGCATCGTTTGGCTCGTGTCGGGTAACATAAACATGTTTGCAGCAGCAGGATGCGGTATCCTGTAAACTACTCCATCAAGAGGCATAATTAAAACGTAATTGCTTTCGTTTACAGATGACGAACCAAACAGGTTAATGTCACATCAGGTTACCAAGTCATCGCAAAATTATCGTCTTATATTTAACAGTTGTACGGGGGTGAGTTCTGCAAATAAATGAAGTATCTCTGGATCTGCAAGTTGGAAATTAAAAGCTTCTTTCTCATTTGCGCCGCACGCAAACATCGCATCAACGCGAGTGGCACAAGAGTGCGCTAATGAAAATTAATGTTTCGCCTTTCGGACACTTTTTACACGATATTTGCTTCCCAAGAAGCAAAAAAAAAACGAAAAAATCTAATTTATGAGTGTGTCTTCTCCGCCAGAAAGCGTGAAATAATGTGCGAATGATAATTTATTGTTTTATTAGCGTTGCTTTCTGAAATGTTGTTTTAATTTTCGCTCGCATCCACGAAGACAAGGATACGAAAATGATGGCAGTATAGATCCGGAGCTGCGCTTGACTCAACGCTGTTCTGAGCTTGAGAAGGGCTTAGAGCCCATGTCGCCGTCGCATGGGATAAGGTAATTAAGCGTGCGGAAGTGTAACTAAACCGCTGACGTTTCGCGTAAGATGGAGTGGCGCGCAGCTTATTTTCGATCAAGCACTACTCCAGCCGCATGCTGTGTCTAACTTTACTAATTGGCTATTAGTGGCGATCTGTAATGACAAAAGTCGCATCGACAAACGCCAATCCCAAACAAAGATAAACGAAAATGAAGAACTTCCACGCTGATGAGAGGAAGATATCTGAAAAAGTTTTAATATCAAATAACGGAGAAAATCGAAGAAAACTATTCCAACTTCACTGGACCACGATGCGTTCGAGATTAACATATAAATTGTACACTAGACTGTGGCGCATACAAAGAGGCACAAGAGGGTTGCACCCGATCTCGATCTGATTGCGTATGTGTCGATTTGCATATCGCCACACGGTCAACCACACATCCTACATCTTCTCTAGTGAGTGTATCGTAGAGTGGATGAGTCTGTCGCCGACGCGTTAGGAGTGTGTCCTGCATAAATTTAAATATTATATACTTTGATCAAGCGATGCAATACGCAATAGGGGTATTTCGATAATCCCAAGATATGAGGGTATAGCATGCATACATTGTAATGTTTTTCATGTTTTCGTCAGGCCGAACAAATTACATAGCATTTTTCCTGTGTGAATTCTTCGCAAATATTCACTAATTAATTTTCTATGGCGTATAATCGACGCGTTCTTTTAGAAATTAAAATCTCTTTGTTGTTTAACAAGGCGCGTTTTAATTAATTTTATGTACATAGCATCTTATCTGTGGCCCTCATTTTGATTCACTTCAGTGGGTCGAATTTTTTATTTTTTTAACTTTTTATATTTTCAGCTCCGGCGCGTTGAAATAGCAATGATTAAAGAATTTTTACCTCTTTTAATTATGTGGCCCTGTAGCTTATACATAATTTAAATTTAAATTTATTGCAATATTTAATTTATTATTATAAGTTTTTTAATTAGTGTCGAATTCCTTCGACAAGTATGCTTCAAGTATGGCTCCCTTTTTAAATTTCATTACTTATCGTATTACAAACAAATTTCCTAATTAATGATTTTAAATTAAATTCCAAGTTGGGAAGAGTTACGATCAAAGGCGACTATTTTGGCTGCTACAAGACGTTGCATTAAAAGCTATTAGGGACTAACCTGAAGTGAAAAAGGATCGTTCATTGTCCGGAACAGCGTAATAAAAGTTTTAATCAAATTTCCAACAAATCTACGTTTACCAAAAAACCGTAACCTCCAAAGGTGTCGCGTAGATACCAGAGTAATATATCTTTCAACCGCCTAAGACTAGATTTTGCTCGTGTAGCAAAATCTATTGATCGCTAGCGTTATTAATTGCTGCGCAACGAAAACAAAATCATCTCATGTTTCCTGCCTCCAACAAAGACGCACTTTAGTTTTGAAGGTAATGTGGTCGTGATGCAGGTGTGCGCGGATTAATCGAGGCAATTTATTATTATTTGTGTTCACAAAGTTACAATTAATTTCACTTTCACGGTCGGAATTTGGTATTTAGAAAAATTATTCAAATACCACATTACTCTCAGCAGGGCGAAGAGAATGACAGGATTATTAACTCTTGATAGGTCGAAAAGCGCAAACTACCTTAATGCAAATAGTCGTCAGGTTAACCTGCTCCGGTTGCTACTTGTGGTCTCCACTGGATTATAAGTTATACGGAGAATGATGGAATAAAGTCATTTACATAAATTTCCGCTCTAGTCCCCATTAATCAAATCAAATGGACGTATAATACAAATGTAGACGTGACAGGGATGCGACATGCAAATCTACAAACGAAGTTTTCCTCCTAATTTCATTGCATCACGTTGATTTCCAAACTTAAACTTATTTTTACTTTAAAAGACAAATATAATGACTCACCATTTGCGCTTAATACTGTATACCTCAGCAATAACCTTCCGGATCCCCAACGTTGCAGGATTTCCAGTGGATGATCAGTTTGTCTTAGCGGACACTCTGTAAGAAATAAAAATAGTTACTACAAACGTGATGTCTCAAGGGTTGCGGATAGCCAGCGTTATGTAAATAATTCATTGTCAGTCTTTTCGTGTTCTATTCCATTTCCAACCAGTTGAAGGCAAACGAAATCGATCGCATGCTCAAGGATGAACAAATCAATAAATGTCCACAACATAAACATATCTCTAATGTCTTTTATATTACATTTATGTTCGTAAATTATAATTTCAAATCAGATGCAATTTAAAGTTTCGCGTTATTACGTTAAAGAAAACTCAGTAGTTGTCTGTTTTATATTAAAAACAGTCTTTCAGAAGATAAAAAATATAATTTAAAAAAAAGTCAACGAGAAGGTTATAAAGCCATCCTGATTGGACACACTTGAATGCGCGCCGGCGTTCACGACGTTATTTAACTTTCTTTGAAACAGGGCAAAAAATAAAGCTAACTATGTCTAGGGCTTTTATGTCTGAGGAAAAATTTGCTAAATTTGTTTACCCATTCGGAAACCTTTCGGCGGCGCAAAACCACTGGCGATGTCATAACCGGCTCGCTAAATTTCGTCCTTTCCGAAGTAACAACCATCATTTTTATATTAATTTTTAAAATGTCACTACTGGAATTATTTCAAGTTATAAAATTCGATTAGTTTTATCAGACGGACGCGAGCGACACGTAATAAGGCGAGTTTTCAACACCGACTAGTTCGTTGCAAGTTTTCCACCACACGAGCACATAAAACGAAGATAGTTCGATCCGTTTTACCACACACTGACTGTCAGCCAATGTACTGAATGTACTTAAAAGGTACGCCACGCCACACGTACACTCCATATTGATTGTCATGATTAATTTAATGACAATGCTCTATTGCGTTTTAATATACCTTGCCCACAAATCAGGCAACTTTGACTTGTATTGTGTGTTTATGTTTACTCTTTCCGTGGGTACTAATTGAAGGGTTGGAAGGCACATCTGGTGACAGTGCAGGAGAGGTACGCAAATAAATCCTACGTCGCACAGCGCACAGAATAATCAACGGACTTTATGTTGAGATGAACTTTTGGGTTTGGGTGTCTGGAGACTAAAGTTAGCGAAGGGTACGTGAACACGGCGTGAAGGTAAATTACGATTACGGATGTACAACGTGTGCAAATTGCGTCGAATTTCGCCATCAAATTTCACTCACTTCGATTGGTAATTACAAAAATGGTCTCTTTCCGTGGACCGACACGTAACCTTTATATTGACCACTTTACTTGATACGGTTTAACTTGTTTAATTTTGTAGATTGCGGAAACCGCATCCTGTGCGGACAATACAAATAAAAGCAGCTGTGGCGCAGAAGATTAGCCGAATGGAATGGACCCTGACTGTTGTCAATTTCAATTATTTAGTAATGATTGTACCCGAAAGCGCTACAAATGCAACAGTTTCGAATAATCATAAAAATAAAATAAAAAAATCAATAAAACTTTGCTTTATGTGGATAACTCTGGAATTGAGCCTTTTTTATTCACATGACATAATATTTATCATTTTCGGAGAAAGGTCCTTTACGGTTGTTAACTTTTTTTTATGCTTGGCGTACCATGTGGCCTGTTTTAGAAAATGTGATTCATTTGCACTTTGTGCTTTCTTTTTAGGACGCAAGTCTAAACTCGAAATTGGCTGAAAAAGAAAAGGTTGTAAATTGGAAGGCAAAAATGCTAGACGTAAAATGGAAAGCGTAAACGAAAAGAAACAGAACAAACTTTGCAAGGCGACATCCTTCGTCTCGTGGCGAAGTGTATAATTAAAGGACTTATTGAAATGTAAATTGCACCCCTTTCGGTGCGAAATATAGCGAGAAAGAGAACTTGAGTCGACAATGTTTAAGTTGAACGTTCGCCTTGGTGTTAATTTTACGTTCTCGGAGGGTGGCGAAAACGCCGGAAAACGTAAAGAGAGCGGAAATCAACAAAAAACGGCTTCGCAGGTGGAGGACGCGCTTCGTTTAAAAGTTTTTCAAACACGGACTTAATTACTTAATACCGCGTTACGTAAATTTACCTCTTTCGTGCGGAAACCCCTCGAGGACACAAGAAATATTTCGAATTATTTGCACGCGCGCGCACGATTGAAAAATCCTTGTTTTAATACCCTGAGCGTGCTTTTTCATGTTTCGTTTTTACTGGTATTTACTCTGGCAGACCTGCGACCCATCTACGTGCTGGGCTCGCTTTTAATACGCATAGATAAATTGAAATAATCCTTGTATTGGAATATGGAATATGTCAGTGTCCTGTTTCCAGATTACAGATTGAATTAATCACACGTGCAACATGAATAACGACAGCATGAAACAAGACCGGGGATAAATGATTCAAATGTTAGAAATCAAATAAAATGGATAACATCGTTCATCCTACCTCCACGCTCAGGACACACTGCAATTAGGTCGCACGTTTCGTCTCCAGGATCGCGACAGCACTCAATTAAATCCGAGCATGTGGTTTCCGGCGTCACCGGCACATCCGTAGTCGATCCATCGCCAAACACCCGCACGATCATCTGAAAAGATTTAATTTAATTATATTTACACGCATATTAGGCAATTGAATCGAGTTAATCAAAACGCACGGTGTCATTGCACCAGAGCGTTGAAGTAATCGCTCGTGGAGAAGCAATTATCGAACGACTTGCTGCGGTGGAAGCGCCGCAGACTAGTTTTGTAGGGTTTGTGTGCAAAGTTTATTAATTACGCTGAAAAGTTTGAAGCCGCTCAGCGACCACGATGCATGCCATGGTCCAAATGCGACGTACATCGCACATTCGCTATTTCCGCCGCGCACGTCGACGCCGAAGCCAGTTAATAGAATGGGGTGAATGAGAGGAATCGATCCGAAAGCCGTTTTATATCAGCCAACTATTCAAAACTTGCTAATTTCCTGCAGCCGGTCGTAACCGCGACCGCAGTTATAAGACAATGTAATTCAATTATAACAAGTCCGCTAAAGAAATTAATCCAAAACTTGATTTATCCAATTTGTAAGATTTATGAATATATTAACTAATTAGATAATATTTTAATTTATTTTATTCGGAGTTACTTAAAGTTGTAAAATAATTCCGAAAAGGATTCAAGTTATTCCTTGAGAATGTTATTTCACTATAGGCAACCCAATATACACGTATACACACGTAAACAAGCACTCACTTTGGATGCATTCCTTTCCTCGCATGAATAAATATTAATTGAACATCATAAATCAAAAGGCTGTTAATTAAGCGTCTCATTCATTAGTTACGTTTCAAGTAAGTAAACGGCTAGCGTAACGATTTCCTGTTGATCGCAATATGCGCGCGCCGTTTCGTGTCATTCGCGTATTTCGCGTCCTTTGTTTTTCGATCGAGCGTTGAGATAATGTTCTTTACCTTCCACGGTCGTTACTTATGTAATGTGCTTGACTTCTTACGTCGACGTTTCGTTGGTTCATTGTGCTTCGCATTAGACACATTCACGTAGCGCCGCAGATTGAAATAGCCATCACACAGCAACCACAACAACAACAACACTCCAATGGAGCAGTTTTTTATTGTTCATTTACAAATATGTATTTTGTTTACCTTGGATGATCGTTAAAATCTCATTAAACGTTCAGAAAAAGAACGTTGCTAAAATTAGTGGATTTGAAGACAATGCTGGATCGATTTGCCATCCTCTGCCCGTTTACGATTACTGTTTGCACCGAGTACTTAGATATCAGTACGCCATATATAATCTTGCATGCGTAAAGTGAAATCGAATATCTAATGATCACAAAAGCCATGCGGGAAAGAGATACACGCGAATTTCGGGCACCTTGGGACGTGAGCCTTACATAGCTCGCACGGATTAAGTTCATGATATTTCCGAGGTGGTTCAAATTACTTCAACAAAACAAACATGCGTCATGTTACTCACATGTGTAAGATTTTCGCTTGAAAGAGCGCATTACATTTACAGACAGCGTAATCCCTTGGAGTAATTGTATAATTCACGTCGAATGGTTTGCCACTGTCGATGAAATTTATTAGAAACGTTGTCAACCTCGCTGCGATCAATTTAGAAGAACAGAACGTTAAAGACATACCGTTCTTTACGATAAAAAGTGTAACTGTATCATGCCATACCGCAAACCTGCGTCTTTCACCTCTTTCATCTTGAGCATTATCGCTCAAACTCGTAATTCGCATATTTTCTTAGATGACTCGCGGATCGCAACGGTTATAAATTGTCTTGCAATAATTCACCGGCCAGTTCTTTAATGGCCAGCAAAATGATTACTAGGAAACTAAGCTGGGAACATTGAGGTATCAAACTGGCAGTTTGATTGCAATAATGTGCAACTTAATTCGTCATATACTCACCGGCACGTACGACGGCATAGCATTCTTGGGGATCCCTTTTGTGGATGGTTTGATGTCATCCAATGCCATAATTATTATAATTCATCTGGAAAATTCAGAAAATCAATTTTTCAATGCAGAAGACATACATAACTGTTATAAATTGCAATAGGTACCCTTTTGGAATATATTCTATACTACACATTCCCCCACCACTTTTAGCGGGTTTGCCGCAGTTATAAAAGGGCTTTTAAGTCCTTTAAGTGGCTATACTAGTGACATTTGGTTTAAATTTCTTAACGGGACTAAACAAAAGTTAAAATATTTTTATTTGACGCAACCCACAGAAACCATAAAAGAAAAAAAAAATCGTCTAACACAATATATTGTGTTCATGCTGTCAATAAAAATAACAGCACGCTCACTTTCTGAGAACAATAAATTAATGCGTTTTCTTGTTTGCCCACGTGCCCTAGTCGAACTCTTCAGCAGCCTTTTAACAATGAATATAGTCATGCTAGCCTGACCATGTTGACATATAAAACCAAACTTAAAGTTCACTACAAATTTGACCGTCGTAGGTGTAATATTACCAACATTTACAGTGACTAATTATTGCAAAGGGTTGTGGATTGTGTTGCACTGACACTTGACATTTGTGTGACGTCTAAGTCATCAGAAATGGTTCCGACAGGACAAAATGCGAAGAAAGAGTTTTCGTTTTATTAAAATTCTGTCCGCATTACTTATTATATCACTCATCGCTCCTAACGCGGCTCTTCCCGCGTCTAATAAACATGCCATTCAAGCACGTGATGATAAAGCTGCACCAACTGGTGCTGGTGGTGTTGGTGGTACTCCACTGAGCGGCGGTGGTGCATCTTCTGCAGCAGCATGTAATACAGCTGGTGGCGATGCAGGCAAAGACATGTCAGTGGACAAAGCAAAAGCGTCTAATATAGCTCAGAAAGCCGCCAATGAAGCAAAAGCAGCCCAGGAGGCACAAGCGGCGGCTGGTCAACAAGCCGCCCATCAAGTAAAAGAACAACTTGCGGAGAAAGCACTTGAAGCTGCTGAGGCTGCAGAGGCGGCGCTTTCCGGAAAACAAGCAATCGTTGAACAGCTACAGGAAGAAGTGCGTGAAGCTGAAGCTGTCGAAAGAGAAGAGGCGAATGCCATTCAGCAAGAAGCCGCCATTGCTGGTGCGGCAATGCAAGCTGCACAAGAAGCAAACGCAGAAGTAAAACTACTCGGTAATGCACTGCAAGTCGCGCAGGCGCTAGCCGCCAACGCCGAACAATCTGCACAAGGAGCGCAACAACAAACACAACAAAAAGAGCAATTAGTCGAAGCGGCAAAAAACAGAGAGGCGGCACTTACAAAACAACTAGAAGCGGCACGTACTGATCTAGCGAATACCAAAAAAGCTGCGGCTAAGGCAGCTTGCGCTGCGCATGAAGCGAAAGAAACTGCAATGCGCAATAAACGAAAATCACAAGCGGCGAGAAACAACTAAACTGCTTACGGACTCAACTTTACGATATTTATATCTATTTATTAATGTATTAAAGTAAAAAAATCCAGAACAATACTCGTATTAATCAAGGACTTCAATGATCCGCGAATATCTCGCATGGTTCGGTGACTTTTGCGACTCAGCGCATCGAAATTAGTTCCTAAGAATGAACTTTTGAGACATTGTAAAAAATGTGAAGGCATTATCTTTAAATCAGTCTCGGAGTATCGCTAAACATGCCATATCGTGCTAAGGAGACTTCCGTTTTGACAAAACAAATTAACTCGTACGTGTGTCTGCATTACCATTGAATCAGATTAGCGTGGATTAACCTTTTGTTAGTCAACTAATTAGTCACATGCAGACGCGGTTACCTTTATTTATTCATAGGATATATAATGGTCCTTACATACGGATAATTAGCAGTGCGATGTTAGGTAGGCAACATACAGTGCATTTTAAAATTAGAAAAATTTCTACGAAATGAAGGTAAATTTTCAATGCATTCTTTTCCTGGATAAGATAAACTGGTGGATAAATCTCTGAGTCGTTGAGTCTTTTCTGCTTGACTAGAAATAAGCGAAATAGGCATTGCATGACCGTAATCATCTGTCGATTTAACTGTTTCGCACCATGAAGTGCGCACAGAAAGAAAGAAGCAATTGAAGCAGCAAGCAAAAAAATACTTGGATTCGACGAATTAACGTTTGGCCGACATGGAGTCAACGAGTATCTACAAGCGACTATCCGTTATTTCAAACGACTGCAAGCTGCCATCTCAAACCTGATCGCGCAGATATTTGATCATCAAATAAACAAAACTAAGTTTATTACACATTGTGTGCGCAACAATGTGAAAGCGTTTTAATGGCAAACTTAACACGGAAATTTAAAGCAATTTACATGAGAAAAATGTACAACACAACTGCACAGTTTATTACACGCCGTACGAAGAATAAGGTAAACAAAATCGCTGGCAATTAAATTCATTAAATTACATACTACTTTGACGCAATGGCAGGGCCGGCAATGCCATCTGGTACATTCTAGTTATTATAATTATTATTAAAGCCGCGGCACGACACTATAAGGTGAGCACAAGAGTCCGAAGAACCGATAGAAAACGTAAGATGTAAACTTCATTCAAGCACACGACAGTGAAAAGATATTACTGTTGAGGCGATGAAGAGAATTGCTTTCCGCGACGTAACAGAGAACTGTGTTCAATTTTTCTACTTTAATTAAGCCATATTACGGCGGCGCAATTGAGTACGTATTGCATAAAAACAATCAAAGTCGTGCGGACCTGGTGTACCTGGTTGTTGCGTTTTTGTTGTTGTTGTTGTGCATGCGAATCGTGCGGATGAATCATTTCGCATTGTGCTTCCATCTCAATAGCAATACGTTCGGTCACAAGTCACAATGTCTCATATCGTTTCCGCCCACGCTCTAAAAATTATATTGCGACTTTTTAACTGCCTACATACTCATAAAACCTATCAAGTCGAATGGTCTGCAGTCTATGGATGCATACGCGATCGACGACAAATACACTTTGTACTATTATGTTACTTATTCGTTACAAATTTGTAATTGTAGTTAACTAGATTAATTCCTTGACAAATTGTATAATAATGGTGGTTAAACGCCTGCGGTATGGTCAGTTGCATACTTTTGATAGTTCTGATGATAGGTTAGGTAAGGTTATGTTATGCAACACAATATATAATGTTAATATAACTGAAATCATAAGGAAAGTGCAAAAAATATTGCTGTGTACATAATATCTTCAGAAACAAATTTTTAACGATTTATTAACGACAAGCTCCACTTGTTCGGCGAATTTGGTTACAAAATAATTATCTGTTGCGTTGTGGCGCACGATTTTCAGATTGCGTAAAGCATGTTTCATGCCTCACGTTGTTCTCTGCCCGACCCGAAAAGGTAAAATTAGCCGCAAATCACAACGAAACGAAATCTAAACAAGACACACACCGCTCGAGAATGAAGAACGCCGAACACCGAGCGAAATTAAAACGCAACAGCGCCATCAACACACTTACCCAGTAAAAAATGATTGCGAGCCGGCTGAAACGATCCCAGGCAACAGCCAAGCAAAGCGGCACAACAATCGAACAACGAAATGTAAGTTGTAAGTACGAGAGATGGAAGTCCACTTTGCTCTCACTTAAAAATGGCGTGCGCTTTAAAAAGCTAAAGGTTAATTGTCGTGAATTATCGAATTGTGCCAATCACGAAGAGCCGCACGTTTACACACTCGTTGCGAAGACAAATTGAAAACTCTCTCGAAAAACAATTCGTTTAAAGCAATGCCAGACCACAAATATTTTTGTTTCCGTATTCATGTGTGTTATCTAATATTCTTCGATATTCATAAATTTACTACGAAGAGGCGTGTTTTCATAAATTACTGCCATGTTTGATATATGAACGCAACGTCTCAATCCAACCGCAGAATCCCCACAAAACACGAATTGAGATAAATTTGAGAAGCATTCCAACAAATAGCATGCCATCACATCGCATTTGAGCAATCAAATCGAAAATCAAGATCAACGACATGCGAGCACCTTCATTCAGTATGGCCATGTACAAGAAGAATATGTATTGCAAAGGAAACCAGGCGAAACAATTCAACGAACATTTCTGGCGTGATGTATACGTCCGGATTCTCAGCGTCCGGCAAAAATTACGTTAATTAATTACGTCCTCGAGGTTTTGTTTTTGTTTTTTAAACAAAATTACATTTACCTTGATGTGTTGCCCTTTTTCCTTTTGGGTAAAGATGTTTTAAGGGTGTATAATCCAAAATTTTGCACAAAACAAACACAAAACAATAACTGAGTAGCTCACAAATTAAGTTACGGTAGGCAACCAGCACTACTTAAGAGCCCTTTTAACTTTACCGTCATAACGCACTGAGTTTCGATTACTTAGTGACTTTGACCGATGAGCGATGTGTGATACGTTAAGCCACGGCACAGTAAGTTATTGAGGATATTGGGGATATCGAGAATGAGAACGCGTCGAATGCGATTCGCGGTGAATGGTGCGACCGCGGCCGGTGTTCGCGACACGACTGTTCGGATCGCAAAAGCTGCCGATCCGCGGTGCGGAAACGTAGTAAGAATCCGTACGGACTCGTCGGAGCCGTAGTAAAAAGAACCATTCAAAGTTGACGTGTTTGTACCAACCGACGCGTGGTGGACGCCGGATTGTGCTGGACATGCTTCGCTTCCTTTGCTTATAGCCGAACAAATTCGTTGATTTGTTTATGCGTTGTCAAGGTAATCACGAATCAAGGTAACGAACAAAAATACAATAAATTACTTTTGGCAAAAATTGAGCGAGGAAAATACTGGCATAATGATATTTATTGTGAGTATTGAATTCAATTTCAGATTGAAACAATAATAAATTTAAAAAATGGCAATTTGCTTTGTTTTACGGTTCATTTTTCTCTATTCTAAAATTGGTTCCAGAGTGCCAAGAAAACTTTTGTAATTTGTACCTTTTGTAAATATTTTAGTATATAATATTGCTATTAATAATAATATTATGGTTTCGAAATATTAATGGTACCAATTTGTCACCAATGCTAATGGTACCCGACAACATTTCAAAACTTTATTCCTTGGCTATAAGGTAGGCAGCCAGAAAAACGCAAATCGCTAACCTTAAAGTTGCGCATGCTGGTTGTGTTGTGCTTTACAGTCGTGCGTTCAATAATTCCATATTTTCTACGGGTTGTTTTTAATTTTAACCCGGTAAAATGGGGAAAGGTTTGTAATTTTACTATAATTATATTATATATAAGTAATTTCCTTTATTTCTTACAGATAAAGAGAAGAATGCAGCCTTAAAACAAGCTTATAAATTAAAAATGAAATCCAAAGCAAAAGAGCGCAAGCAAAACTTAAAAGAAAAACGCGCTAAACTTGTAGTGAAAAACCTACCATTCTCGGCCACTGAAGAAAATCTAAAAGCGTATTTCGGAAAATTTGGAACAGTAACAAATATCCACTTGCTTAAGAAAGAAGATGGCATGCTTACAGGTTGTGGTTTTGTACAATTTGATGCTGTGCAAAAAGCAGCCAAAGCTAAACATCATCTAAATGGAAAAGAATTTATGGGAAGAGCTCTTGAATGTGACTTTGCTATGCCCAAGAAACAGTTTGATAAGAAAGTATATAATGAGAAAAGAAAACAATTTTGGTTGGACCAGAAAATAAAAGAAGAACCAATTGATGTTGATACTGTTGCAGAAAAACCAACAGTTGATGAAAATGTTATTGATTGTAATGAAATAAAAACAGAACCAAATGAAAATATTGATGAAGCAGTTGTAAAAGAAGCTGATAGTTCTTCAGATGACAGTAGTGAAGAAGAAACAGAACCAAAAGAAGAAAATGATGAAAGTTCCTCTGAAGATGAAGAAGAAAAAGAACCTAAGGAAGAAAGTCATGAAAGTTCATCTGAAAATGATGAAGAGGAAGATGCAGATTCAATGATTGACCAAAAAGATGAAGAAATTGATAGTGGTCTTGATGAAGATGAAAAACTGTCACAGACTACAGAAAAGAAACAAAAATATGAGTCACATGATGTCACAGAGGGTAGAACTGTTTTCATTAAGAATCTGCCTTTTGATGCTACTAATTCAGACTTAAAGGAGTGTATGAAGCAATTTGGGCCCCTATATTATGCTTTAGTATGTGTTGACAAAATGACAGAGCATTCCAAAGGCACTGCATTTGTAAAATTCAGAGTAGGTTTTATAAATTTAATCTTTTCTCATAATTTAATATGTATGAAATTTCAGAATAAGGAGGATGCTGATAAATGTCTTAAAGCAGGTACAGAATTAACTTGTTTAGGAACCATCTTGGATTGTCATCCGGCTGTTGGTAGACAAGATATTCAAAACAAGTCAAAGGAAAAAGAGAAACAGAAAGATTCTAGAAATCTTTACCTTATTAAAGAAGGAGGTAGGTGCTTCTATTTATGTTTTGTTTATGTCTTACTGAATATAATTAATTATTTGCAGTGGTTTTGGCTGGTACAAAGGCAGCTGAAGGTGTATCAGCCGCAGACATGGCGAAACGTCTACAACTAGAGCAGTACAAAACGCAAATGTTGCGCAATTTAAATATGTTCATTGCTAGAACTCGTCTTATAATCCACAATTTACCAGCGACTTGGGACGACAACAAATTACGAATTCTTCTGAAAAAACACGCAGGTCCCGGCGCTGTCATCAGGGAATGTCGTGTCATGCGCAATTTAAAAAACGTCGACGCGAAGGGTGTAGGTTCATCAAAAGAACACGGTTTTGTTTCATTCACAACTCACGAACATGCTTTAAACGCTCTACGATCCCTAAACAATAATCCACACGTATTTTCTGCTAGTAAACGTCCTATTGTTGCATTTTCAATTGAAAATCGCGTTATGGTTAATACAAAACAAAAGCGCTTAGAAAAATCGCGTCAACTTAATCCCCTCGCACGTCAATTTGATGCAGGTGCAAAGAAAGATCATCAAAGTTTCAAGAAACGTAAACGTGAAGAAGATGGCGACGCACGGAAACGACGTCCGCAAATCATCGAAGGTGATAAGTTTGCAGGCACGCAAGCAAAACCTGGTCAAATAAACAAAATGAGATCTAGGTATAAACTGAATACACAGGCGCAATTGCATTATGAACAAGTAAAAGCTGAAAAGAAACAGAAAAAGAATGTTCATAAGACTTTACAGCAAAAGAAAGAAGAATTCACTCGACAAGACGGGCAGAAAATTAATAAACAGAAGCGCGATCGCGATATTAAAGACGATAGTTTTGCCAAAATGGTAAACGCCTATAAAAATAAACTGCTTAAGACTGGTTCCAGCAACCAATCTAATAAATTGCAAACTAGAGGAGCGTGGACAGATGGGTAACTGTAAATTTAGAAAATAAATTAATGTTATTTGACTATTTTGTGTACTTTCATATTTGCAAATTGCAAATTCAAGTACTATCAGCTTGTTATAAAAAGAAGCACACAACAATGCACTGTCACAAACATGAATATTATTTTAATGATTGTCAAGCGATTTGGTAGTTTCCACAGCACATTGGCATGCGAGTTGTGATGCTCCAGGCTTTACTAAACAAGTACCGGCGCGTAAGTGAAATCTGGGTCAGGGCCCCACCGAAACGCACTCGAATCACTCGAATTTGTAGCTGTGATCCCGCGAGCTCGATATACTTCCATGCGATCACGGATGATTCGAAACCCGTTTCTTCCATTTCTACCTCTGTTCACCTGCGCGCATTAGGCAGTTGCCTAGATGGCGGCGTTTTACCTACCAACCACTTTCATTTGCATTCGAACTTTTAAAGCGCATGTTGTACTTTTTCAACATGCACGTTCTCTCGAAAATCAAATTCACCACAGCATCGCGATGCGTGTTATCAATAAGAAATCAATTAAATTATTCTACAACTATCGCTATAAACGGTGAAGTTACCGGTAATTCGGAAAAAGTTAACAAAGTGTGTGAGTTTGAAGGTGCGCGCCCGTACGCGGATGTTCCGGGACCGAAACCCATTCCGATTTTGGGGAATACTTGGCGTTTGTTGCCTGTTATTGGCCAGTATCAAGTGTCAGATGTCGCGAAACTTTCGCAAATATTTTATGCCGAATATGGTAAAATTGTTAAACTCTCCGGTTTGGTGGGACGACCTGATTTGCTCTTTGTCTACGATGCCGATGAGATAGAAAAAGTTTATCGCAATGAAGGACCAACGCCTTTTCGTCCATCTATGCCATGTTTGGTCAAATATAAAGGTGAAGTACGAAAGGATTTTTTTGGTACGCTGCCAGGAGTAGTAGGTGTTCATGGTGAGCCATGGCGAGAATTCCGGACGAAAGTACAAAAACCAATATTGCAATTACAAACGGTTCGTAAATACATTGCGCCCATTGAAGAAGTCACAGATTACTTCATGCAACGGTAAGTACTCAGCGCATACCGCGACGCTAGGTGCATGTGATCATTATCATTAAAATCGCATTTTCTGTTTAGCGTAAATGCCAGAGAAAATCCGGTACCGCGCAATACTCGTCTCGGAGTTTATAAAGTGAAATGCCAGACAGGCATAGAAATTTCTTTTGTTATACAGTGTGATTAAATTTAATTATTTCATTCATATGAGATTGTTTCTGAAGTGAAACTTTTATAACGAGTGGGTCATTAAGAGAATTTAGACTTTTGCGACATAGTTTTGATGCATATAATTTATTTTAATCATTAGAGTCTAGACGAGTACGATATAAACAAATTAAATATGAAATTTTATAGTTTTACTAGTAAAATGCGTGAGAATATGTTTCTCAATAGGTATTTGCAAAAAGCTTAAATATTTAAACATAAACAAACGATGCCGAAATAAAAATTGCATAATTTTAACGCAACGTTGCGGCAATAACCTTGTAATAGTAACCGTAAGCCAAAAGTTTGGAAGTAAAAGTTGCGTAGTTCTAGGCACAGTTCTTTTTTGTGCAGTGTTCGACTTAAAAAAAGTTCATTCATCTATTTTGTCGAAACTGCATTGCGAATAAGAAAGTAATAATTGAAATCTAAGTGGTCGAGTCAAGGTTCTAACACAAACAAGTTTTAAATTTTTTACGCTTTACGCTTACCTCAGATAACTCATCTCTTTGAATGCCAATTGATGTTACGCTATGATGTGTTTATAATTATCACATAGACGTTAATAGCATGAATAAATATTTTGTTTCTGCAAGGATGTTATTGTAGTAGTGGGTATTGTAGTATGTTATAATGTGTGTTTGTTTGTAGAATGATGGAAATGCGCGATGCCGAAGGTGAAATGCCTGCAGACTTTGACAACGAAATTCACAAATGGTCACTTGAATGTATTGGTAGAGTCGCTTTGGATGTACGATTAGGTTGTTTGGATGCTAATCTACCTGAAACGTCTGAACCGCTTAAAATTATCAACGCCGCTAAATTTGCACTGAGAAATATTGCAGTGTTAGAGCTTAAATTTCCGTTTTGGAGGTATTTTCCAACTCCAATTTGGACTAAATATGTGAATAATATGGATTACTTTGTGGAAATATGTATGAAGTATATTAACGAAGCAATGGATCGATTGGAAACCAAAAAAGATAAAAATGAATATGAATTATCGCTGATTGAACGAATTTTGATTAATGAACCAAATCCACGAACTGCAGCGATTCTTGCTTTGGATCTTATTTTAGTTGGAATTGATACGGTAATTTACAAAACATAACAAATTTTAATATTGCATTTTCTTAATTATTATGGTTTCTAATGTATAAGATATCAATGGCGGTGTGTTCGATTCTGTATCAACTCGCAACCAGACCGGAAGAACAAGAAAAACTTCATCAGGAGTTATTACGGGTGTTACCCGATCCCAACACACCTTTAACCACAGCACTGCTTGACCAAATGGTATATCTTAAAGCTTTTGTTAAAGAAGTGTTTAGAAAATACTCTACAGTCATTGGTAACGGCAGAACATTACAACAAGACACGGCTATTCGAGGTTTTCACATTCCAAAAGGGGTAACTTGATTTAATTAAGAACAATTCCTCCACACAATTTCCACAATTATCAATTTTTGTGTTATTATAAAGGTACAAGTAGTTTTTCCCACTTTGGTAACTGGTAGCATGGAGGAATATGTCTCAGACGCTGCAGATTTTAAACCGGAAAGGTGGATGAAGGGAAAAAATGAAGGAATGAAAATTCATCCATATGCATCATTGCCTTATGGACACGGTGCTAGAATGTGTTTGGGTCGACGATTTGCCGACTTGGAAATACAAATTTTGCTTGCTAAGGTACCCTAAATCATTTAAATAGTTCTTAATTTTTTTATTTAATTTCTTTTGCAGTTGATTCGATCGTACAAATTAGAGTACAACCACGATCCACTTGAATATAAGGTGACTTTCATGTATGCTCCTGATGGGGAACTCAAATTTAAAGTTACCAAACGTCCACCAATGTAATAATTGTAAAAATAATAAGATTTAATAAGGATACAAAATTAAACAGTATATTGTACATATTTTTATTATTATAAAACATTTCTTCGTTAAAAATCATAGGAATTTCATCAATTGAATGGAAAAGAAAATTAAAATTCTTATTATTTTCCTATTTAGTAAACTTTATACGTAATGGTCCATTTGGCGTATACATCGGATGAATAAAATAATCCAATTTCTCATGATGATATTCCAATTTATATTGTTGTAGAATCTACACAAAAGTTTTCAATTTTAATATTTTTTTTATGAAAACAAAAAAAAAAGGTAAAAATACTCACTTTTACAATGACTGTTTGAATTTCTATATCAGCAAATCGCTTCCCCAAACACATCCTGCGACCAAAGCCGAACGGAAGTGAAGCAAACGGATGATGTCCTTTACTAGATTCATTCATCCCATGCGGACATGTTTTCAACCATCGTTCTGGCATAAACTCATTGCTCTTTTCGAAATATTTATCCAAGTTGCTAATGACGTAATGTTGAAAAACAACCTGCACCTTTAAATAGAAAAGCGAACAAACAAGTTTTATGCTGTAATAAATCATTAAATCCATTTAAATCTAGTAGATAATAAAACGCTACCTACTCCTTTAGGTATTAAATATCCACCAATAATTGAATCGCGACTGGTACATCTTCCATTCCCAATAACAACAGGATACATTCTTAAAGTTTCGCGTATGCATGCTTTCGTATAAGGCATCGAATCCAATTTTTTCGAAGTCAAAGAGTCATTGTAATCCGGCGCGACGCTTAGAATTTCTTCACGCGCTTTGTCCTGAATCTCCGGATGAGTAGCAAGTTGATACAAAATGGATCCCACCGCGTTGGACGTCTTCAACAAATAATTCCATCATTGATTATTTATCGTTTATGTAATAACTATGTAAATCTATGCCATGCATAGGTATGTGGGTAGAAACTCGTAACCAAAGAGTGAAAGCGTGTATGAATTAACATGAGCAAATGTGCGTGCGTTTATGTGTGCGATTATAACAATATTCGGTGTCATCTCATGCGTAAAATGTAAATATTGATATATTTTATTACGGTGTCAATTCCGACGAGAAACAAATCCAATGCTAGAATGGCAGCGATCTTGGCATCGTTGTCCATGGCTAAAACTCGTTCCAAAACGGATTTTTCGTGAGCATCCTTCTCGGTTTTTAACGTGCGTAGCGCTATGTTAATATGTTTTAACGAAATTCTACAAGCAAATGATAATCGAAAAACAAGCATAAAAAACGTACAAAAATGTCACATACTCTCGAATCGTATCTAGCGCACGGATGTACTCGTTGAAAGTGGGTGTTGCAAAAAGACGCCATATCGGCGCCTTCAGTTCCAGTATCGGAACATTCATGAAGAATGTATTGACGGCGTCGATTAATTTCTGCGTTTCCTCATTCGCATCATCATCGAGACATCCGAGGCGCACATCCAAAGCGACTTTAGCTATTGCTGCAGCAGAGACAATGTTTATTCATATTTTTGCGTAATGCAAAGTTTATCTATTTGTCAATTTGCTACGGTTGTTGATTTTGTAGAAATCTTGACAAAGGAACGGATGCACGAATAATAAATAATAATCGCGTTGAAAGCATGAAGCGTTAAATTGGCGTAGAGCGAACGAAATTACACTTTTTTGTATTTAATGTGTATATACGTACATTCTAGCGACCATTTATGGATTTCGTTTAGAAAATCGTGTGGCATCTCGTTTTTCTGGTCCTTTAGCTTTTCAATTCTGCAAATTACAGAGTTACAAACGTTTTTATTGTTTAATTTATTTTTTAACGAGTTAAGACATGATAGTTATTGGAAAAAGTATTTTATTTGGACATTTAATTTAATAGAAGAAGATAAATTAACGTTTTTGTCTTTGTGGCTTGATTAATGAAGGAGCCATCTTTTGCAATACGCGTGCGACCGACTTTTGAAGGTTTTTTCATCTTCGCGTTCCAAAATATCTATGTACCAATGATTTAAGCAAACAAATAGCTCACAAATTGTTGTCATAAATCGTAATAACTCTAGGAACACAAGTTTCACAGCTTTAGAATTTTCTGATTTACATTTTGCAACCACAAATTAAAAATTTGACAAAATGGCGCTTTTAGTGTACTGTTTATTATATTTTACCTTTGTACAAACTCCTTGGCAGTTTCTTCGATTGGTCCGATGTACATCTTCGCCACTCTCGGTTGCATCATGATTTGGTTCACTTTGGTACGAAAATTTTGCCAATTTTTGCCGTGCCTGGCAAAATAATGAACCCAAGGACATCATAATAATTATTAAGAGCGCATAGATCATAAAAGATAGTCATAAAGCATTAGAAACCGTTGTTAAATATAATTGCACACAAATGACTTACACGGCAATTACGCCACCAACATCTCCAAAGAAATCCTTCTGATAGACATGTTTGTAATAGTTCAGCGATGGCATCGAAGGCCGCAAAGGCAGCGCATCTTCTTGCCGAAACACTTTTTCAATTTCATCGGGATCAAAAAGGAAGAGCATGTCGGGTCTACCAAGTAAACCCTCCACTTTAACAATAGGTCCGTATTCTTCATACAATCGTTTCGACACTTTATCGATGTGTTCAATTTCAAAATCACCAATAATTGGAAGAAATCTCCATGTGTTGCCAGCGAGTGGAAATGGTTTTGGTCCCGGTACCATTTTATACGGTAACGCTTCGCATGTTTCGTTTTCAAATTCTTCCTCTACACTTCTATCCGCGGAAATTAAACTGACGCTGTGCGCGTTGGAAAACTTTTGAAAAAATCGCCGCGATTCCTTCACAACTTTCAACGTTTTCTCCATTTTAATTGTATTTTACTACGACTCCGACGGAAACTCGGCAAGATTCAAATCGCGACTTCCACATTAATGTACGCGATCGTGACTACTCAGACTTCAGACTACTAGTCAGCGTGCCTCAACTTCAGCGATCCGAACTATGATACTTTCCCCTGCTTTGCTTTGGCGCGCGCCTGCTGCAACGCGTTTGCTCTTCTTTGCTCGTTTACCAGACAGGCCATTGTTATTTGCGGTCGACCACTTGCCGAATTTGGTGAGAGCACAAACCCCCCAATCAATTCAAGGGCATTGAATTGGTGGCAAATGCCAGCCACTCTTGCGTAACCGGACCGTATTGATAGCGAATGTAAAAGTTCACAACACTTTCGTCACGTGCGCAGCGTGCCTCCTTGCAGACATAATTTTTGTGTTATATAATTCATTCATATTACACACTCTGCGCCAGACATAGCTAAAATATACGCACAGTAGTTTAAAATATCGCTACCATTAAATACTATTTAATTATCAGTTTGTCGATGTCGTTCGGTTGGCTGGGCAATTTGCGAAAGAGAAAGTTATTCTAGATAGATACAAGCTCTAAATGTTTAAACCTCCCCACTGCACATAATACTATAACATATATATCAAATTGTTTATATTTTCGGCGTTCACATTCACCTTATTACAGTAACATCATTATACATATTATAACATCATAATATAGACGCGCATGCATCAATTTGGTACTCGCATGCACACCGAACAAATACCGCTAACAGATTCGAGGCACAGTTTGTGAAACAAATGGCCGCAGCTCAGACGCGTGCTGCCTTCGAGAATTGCATTATTTATCAACAAATTACACACACTGCATTTGGTGCCCATTACGTCTAACATTCCGCTCAGATTCGGCTTCCCTAAATGTTTTTGGTTCAAATACGCACGGAGGCCATCTTCGAATTGATTCTCCAATCGAGTACTGGTTAATACATTCGACATAAAGTCGCATGACTTGCCGTTTTCTTTACTCACAGCACTAAATAGACAACTCTGATAGAATTCATATCCCAATTCGGAATTTGGAATATGTTTTGCGTGTTTTTTAAGTATTCGTGTTGTTTGTAGCCCTCCCACTCGCTTCAGCATGATGAGCGCAAACTCTTTCCAAGTCATCGCTGCACGTGTGTCTATAATATTGTCGCAGTTAAGGCATCTTCCTCGTTTGAGTTTAACCAGTAGAATAGTACAATCGTTCCAGTTATCAGGCGTAAAACATTCTGATTTTTCTTGAAACAGTGCGGGATCACTCAATTGAATGACCAACGCTGGTAAATCATTCATTTCATCAATCTTTAACTTCCACAACATAGGAAACTGGAGCAATAACTGCTCACGGTCTATTGTGGATAACTTCGAATAAACAAGTCGAGCTAAAGGTAAATATTCATCAGTCATTCCATCAGCCAATGGTAACGGAAAACCGCAATCACACAAACTCTTCACGCCATTATCTCGCTTATTATTGCGATAAAAACTCAAACTTTTTAAAGCCTCGGAAAGTGTTTTCATTGCGCGTGAATCTGTATCCAAACTTTCGATTCGATCGCGTTTTTGGTTTATAAATTTCAGATACTGATGATAGCACCAATTACGTACATTATTATTGTCTTTCTCCAGCGCGTTGTCGCTCACGTATTCAATAAACTTTTCAAACAAAACAACGATTTCATCCAGATTGTCTCTGGATGAAAGAAGCTCGTGTAGTTGGGCTGTTTCAATATTGTCGTACAATTGATTGACTTGATACTGTTTGTACAAAATGTTATTAATATAATGCGGATCACGTGTTGGTTCGACCGGTTTTAATTGGATGTTAGTAGGATGGACCGTATTGCTTTTGCGAATTGACTTCGCTTTGTTGACGTACGAACAAGAGGGTTCTGCATATTCACAATGACCGTTTTCTACTGTAACTATATGCGAACCCGGCATGGAATTTGTTTCATTATTCTGTAAACGACGCTCAATCGACTTAAATATCACCTCCAGACTTTTTGACTCTTCGCCTTGTTTGCACTTATCTTTTAAAACATGCAATGAACGCAGTGAATCGTGCGTTTGTATAAGTTGAAGTACTTGATCTTTATGTTTTAAACATAATTCAGTGCAAAGCAAGTACTGTCTGGCAGATAAAACTTTCAAGAGCAACACTTCCAGCTCCATTAATGCTATTACGCGCATATCTTTTTTGTTCCATAAATAAATATAATTGTGGATGATTTTTACGTCGGTGATGTCTCGCATTTCGTACACGAACACAACGTGAATACCCTGTTTATCGAATATGACTAGATTGTTCTTGCAGTAGGTAATTAGGAATTGGTCTTGCACCATGAGTAAACGACCGAAGTTCTCGAAGTGATTTAGCGTCATTTTGCGAACTTTAAGGCGAGAATTTGCGTCGCTGTCGAGGCAAATGCTCTCGGTGACATTTTCCTGTAAGGCAGATTTAAATTGGTAGGTACATATGACAGTTCCATCAATGTTTGCTTCCCAGATGCGGAAACCCGGTCGAGAACAGTATATTCTCGCAGCAGGACTCGATGCTAACGATGCGCTGGTTGGAAAACTTTCGTCGTCTTTAACAAACCGGAAACGATTCTTTTCTCGATCTACGTTTTTGGCAAACCAGTCGGGATTCTCCGCAAAGAAGCAGGCGCCAAAATCGCCATCGCGGAGTTTCTTACCGATTTGTCGGTATTGTTCAGCCTCAGTATCACATAAGAATGTTTTGGTTTTGGTGGAGACTAGTAGTAACCTTCCACAGGCATCTAGTTGACATATTGTGGAATCCAGATGCATTAATACAGCTGTAGGTGTTTGGAATATTGCTTTGGACTGGAAAGTAAAGTTAGAAATTGTCAAAATTATACTACAACCTGCAAATGGTACTCAACTTACAAGAAGGCTGTTTATAGAGATCACAGAAACTTTTCCTTTGTTGTCACCACAATAAATCTCATTGCAGTGCCATATTATATCGGTAATTGTGCAACCTTCATGTTCTCGAAATATTTGGTATCTAATAGTTGATTCAGTAAAACAATTTTCTACTAGGATTATAAATCCCTTTGAAGTTGCTACCAACACATACTTCTCTTCTGGGCATATTAGTAGTTTTAAAATTGCACCTTCCTATAATTGGTAAAATTATAGTTAAATAAAAACAATAATTGTATATAATAAAACTTACTTTAGATGGTACCAGTTTTAAAAAATCGAGTTTATTTCGATTGAAAACATAAATTCCGCCACTAGTAGCTCCAAAAACTAGATAGTTAATAGAAACATCAAATGTAGTGAACTAAAACCAAGAAATTATTATTATTTGTGGCTCTTGTTGGATATTTTTAACTGTAATTACTTTAATTCGCAACGTTTGTTGCAAAGGTTTCTTAATTAGGATGTTAACTTCACTTATACACTCCACCAGGAAGTGTTTACTTGTTTCCGTCATTATTGCATGTTACTCAAAGTTCGACGATTGTTTGGCCCACAGCGAAAACAAATCGTTAATTGTGGTTATGTCGTAATTAATTGTTAAGATGACATTTAGCACGCAATAAGTTGAACAAGATTTCAATATTATGTAATAAGTGGTGTTGTCGAGCAGTGACCTCTTGAATTTGGTAGGAAATTAGAGAAAACAAAAACGTTTCCATTCAGTACTCATAATTTACATATTTATTAATTGTTGTTACTAAGTAGTAATAAATATTACAATATTATTTAGCATATCCCGCCAAAACATGGCCGAAAGTTCGTCGTAAACTTTCTTTATGCTTTCTTCTGCTTTGCACAAAATACTGTACAGTATACTGAACAATCCTAAAAATCTTGCCTGTGATTGGTTCGCTTTACTGTTCAATTGGTTGAGGAAGTTAGAACGCGATAAATGTAGGAGGTGTAACATAAGTGCGATAAGTGCGATGGGAGTTCAAGTGACGTTTCACGTTCGTACGTTCCGCAACCGTGCGAACAGTACGTACCGCTTTCAACAGGCAGGTCGGCTGAGCCTGTGAAAATTTCTCGCCGTATTCACAACAATCCGCACAATTGCCTCTCGATTTGTACCATTTGTACGATTTCTACTCATTTCCGAGGATATTCACGCAGCATGTCAGTATTCTATAATGTGAATCTGCTTTTAGGGCAAACCGCACAAACTGCGACATCGTGAACGAAAGGAACGAAAATAGCATCCTACATTTGAGTATTTAGCATGGAGTTGTCACAAGAAATCCAGACGATTTTACAAAAATATCGACCTCACAAACTGCCACAACACACCAATGATGATTACCTGATTGATGTGGCAGACATGGCCTTTGACAATGAAACTTGGTGAGTGGATAATGTAGCAGCAGTATTTTTATTTGCTTCAAAACAATGCATTTGCAATTATAGGTTGGTGGCAAGCAACCCAGTGGCTGATCTTACAAAATTCTTCAAATCTGATACAGATATGATGACTTCGAGTGACTCTGACACCTCAAATGAAACATACAAACAATTTGACTCGCGCACATTCACCCGGCCCAAACGAAATTTTACGCGTCCAAGTATTGAGAAATATAATGAAGAATTCTTTGCATCCAGTACAAAACCTTCTAAGGTGACACTCAGTGAGGAAATTGATAATTATATGTCCATATCAAACACAACAATAGAAGATGGTATGACTGAGAAAACAAAGCCTGTGCACTTTGACCTCACACAGCCAATCAGTACCAGTATTTTTGAGAATATCGCATCACAGTCAGCAGAAATGGACAGTTTTCAAAACATGTCACCACCTAGTCTGGTTAATTCAATGTGCTCCTCAACCTTCACCAATTTAATGGACAACAGCTTTATTAAGAATGATCCAGTATTACGGGAAATTCGCGATGCCGATTATTCCGCTGTAATTTATCAAGAAATGGAACCGCCTTTATATCAATCTATTACTGAAAGCTGTAGCAGTATCAATACGGAAGTGGCGGAAACTTTTGTTCGTAAAACATTAAATTCGCTCAATTGCACATTTAACAAAAGACTGGACCAGACGCCGAAATACGTAAGTGACGGAGCACAATTGCATGCCGAGAACATTGACCCAAATTCAACGTACTCTGCATTGAACGGCACCTATCGTAAAAATAAAACGTTTACCGATGAAGATGATTTGAGTAACGATCAAATTGCCAATGCCACATTTCAGCTAAAGCAGGAAATTATAGTTAGCGACAAGGAAAGTGACGAGTGGAATTCGACTTTCTCTGTTCAAGAAGAATCTCCAACGAATAATACTCTAAATGCCACGTTCAGGCGATCAAAGTCACCGAAACCCGCCACATTAAATTCGACGTTTAATAAGAATCACAATGTCAAGGCGAATTATGGCAGTGCAATAACGATTGTTCCTCAGATCGATAATTATATGATTGACGATAATCGAACGAAGCGTCTAAGTGACGAAATCGACGATTATTTGAAACAGAAAATTAGTTTCTATTCGGAATCGGAAGACAATCCTTTAATGAATCGCTCAACAAATAGATCTACGGATAGCTTAGATCGTTTGAGTAGTTTATCGAATAGTAGCCGTGATTCTAAACTAATGGCCGATGTTGATGCGATTGTCGAAGCGCAGGAACGCAGTTTACAGCAAGTGATGTCCACACCCAAGCCGAAATCACTGGCAAAACCTTTCAGCCAACTGACAATATCGCCAATACCAAATCTTAATTTGAAAGAACATCTATCTGATTCGGAATTATCTTCTGGTGAATACAATACGGTGCGTTCACGATTTTCTGATCAACAATCAGCGAAAAGTTTGAATAATTTAAAATACGTCGAGAGTATCCCACGTAAAAGCGTTCACACTGTTAGCGACATGCAGCGCCCCGCTAGTGGCTTGCGACGTCCCTCCACAGCTGGTCGTGCAAGCGGATTGCGAAAAGAAAGTAAAATATCGGGTTCCTATGGTAACTTGAGGCAGATCAGTTCAAATTTTGGCAGCTCCTATACGAATTTACGGCCGAAAAGTATGGTTTTGCCTAATATACCAGCCAAGAGTGGAGGTGATGAATTTAAAGTACCGCATGCTGTTCCCAAAACCACCGACACACATCGTAATTATGCTTCAAATCCTAATGATACTTTCGCAAAACCAAAAGTGACTAACCTGCCGAGGCCAACTGGAGGCACAGGTATTCCTCGTCCTACGTCAAAAATACCAGGCCCAAGGACTTCAAGGTAAGTTGAGAGTATAAACAAACGCATGTTTTTAATATATTAACTAATTTGACTAAATATTTATAGATTACCGTTGGCTAGATCGAATGCGTCTAGCAGAACAAATCTTAGCGACGGCAATTACTGACAAATACTAACGGTGGTGTTGTCTTTAATTGTTAAAACTGTTGTATCCTAACCAGAAACTAATGTAGCAGAATCTATATACAATCGCTCATTGGAAATGATATGAAAGTGAAGATCAGTGCCTTTTATTAATATAAAAAAGCGGCTAATTTTATACACAATGTAATATACATTTTCGTATTTGTAATGTAAAGCGCATATCTCACATCTCGTGTATTCTATCATTTGTATATACATACATATCCATTACTTTATTTGTATTTGCTCATTGAACAATTCGTATTTGTTACAATTGTTGATATTTCAAGTTTACCTATTTATTCAAGATTTTTGTAATTTTATTACTGTTAACCCAATAATTTTGTTAAAGAAAACATTGCTCTGTAATAAATATAGTATATAGTGCACCTAGATGAGGAAATTGGTTATTACCCAAATATACATTTTCGAAAAATCAAAAGTAATGGTAGAAATAAAGCTGAAATATGTTTTATTATGGATTTACTTCAATACAATGTAAATTATTATCTCTACAACCTAAATAAAATCTGTTTTCATGGCGAATACAAGCTTGAGGTGAGGAAAAACACTCGTTTAACAAATTATGCGCACCTAATAACATCAGAGAACATTTTTGGTTTTCTTGAGAATTATTTATGTGGAAACAATATATGCAACCCATACTATTAACTACAATCAGATAATCCCTATGATTTATAGTTAAATTCAACGGTTTGGTTGTTATTGATGATGTAGTATTTAACGAAACTGATTCTTCTAAGTTGCATTGACTTTCGTTAAATTTAAATATGTTTATTATACCTTGTTGCGATCCGATGAATATTCGGTTATTGACTACCAGCATGGAAGCAAATGTTGTTAGAGCCTGTTGAGTGGTAATTGTTTTTACGTCCAGTATCCAATGCTATAAACATTCATTTTACTTATCAATTGAACAAAGATTTGCGTAAATAACGTACCAGCGCATCAGCTGTATTTGTCAATGAAAAACAGTAAATATTTCCCTGTACATCAACAAACAAAACACCGCCATTCATTGTAGACAATTCAGGAGACGTAAATATTGGATTTTGAGCTTTATAAGTCCATAAAACAGCTCCCGTTAGGTGTGATATGCAAAATATGCTTCCTTTTAGTGCTCCAACATATAATTTATCGCTGAAATGTTTAATTTCAGCAGATATTGGCTCTTCAATCATAGTTTTCCATAGTAAAACACCTTCCTACAAAAATTAACATTTTAATTATTCCATTCACAGTATAAAGGTATATTTACCTTAGAAAGAGAATAAATGTGTCCATCATATGATCCAAATATTATTTTATCTTCTATGAATATTGGTTTATTCTTAAGTTGAGCATCTGTTTCAAAAGTCCACACGCATTCCAAATTCTCTTCGTTTCTTTTTTTAGAATTGTCAATTAATAATTTAAGACAATATAATTTACCATCAAAACAAGGCACATAAAAGTATTGATCAATCATAAGAGATGCACTTTCTATCACATTTGGAAGATTAATTGAAGCAATTACTTGTCCAGATTCTGCATCAAAAATACTAAAAGTATGAGCAAAGTTACCAACTGCCACATATATTCGACCACTGTAAAAGATCACAATGTAAAAAAGAATATTACGTATAAAGTTATAACTATAAATACTTTATGTTGCAAACAATTGGAGATGAATCTATGCAAGCTTTCATATCTGCTTTCCAAATCATCTTAAACATGGTCGAAGATTCAATTTTTGTATTTTTAAAAGTATTATCAGTTTTATCGATAAAATTTAAGGCTTCTTCCAGTTTTAAATCCAGTAATGAGCGATTAAATGCGGATTTTGTCAAATTTTCATATTCTTGTGATAACTGCATTGCCCCAATTGAATTTCCACCAGAATCCCAAAAATTTCGAACATAAAAATGCTGCATATCTGTAGTTCCAGTAATACCAAGATATGTACACCACAAACCCAGAAATATATCTTTTATACTCTTCTCCATATTATGTTGGGTATCAGCTTTGAACAAACGATCTGCCATTTGTTGTAAAGCAGTTTTATCCAATTTACCATTATGTTGTTTGATTGGAAATTTTTGTAATATTTCAATTAAATCAGGCATAAATTCAGGTTTTAAAGATTTGATTAATTTCACACGAATTTTATCTATTGTTTTCATTTTAACTTCATCACTCCCTTGAGTAATGTGCACTTGTAGAAAACAAATTAATTTATTCTGATAGAATATGCACTGGTTAACAATTTGTGTGGATGTATAAATTAACTCTTGTACTTTTAACAAAGATATTCGATGTCCAAATCGTTTTATCACGTCATTTTCTCTTCCAATATAAAATATTTTTCCATTTTTCACGTTTACAATATCGCCAGTACTGCGAAAAATGTATTTATCTTCAGTATTTTTATCATTTCCATGCACACTTTCATCATCGATGTAACATAATCTTGTTTTACTTCCAATACGTAAAATTCCTTCGTAATTTTGTTCTTTATCTAAATTTTCTGATACAGTTATTAAAGTTCCATCAAAAGTCTCAATTTGAAAGAGTATTTCATCCAGAGGTTTCCCCAAACTGATTTCTTCACCATAAAATACTCTTTCAACGGATGCCCAGCAAGAAACTTCAGTTATCCCATAAAAATTATAAATTTTACATGTTTTTGGGGATTGTTCCGGTATAATATGAACCGGAAACTTTTCTCCACCTAAACCTAGGATTTTAAGCCCACTTTTGAACAAAATGAAATCAATTTGCTCAACAGAAAACTGTGTAAAAACTGAAGGGCACATTTGCATAAAAGTTACACTTTTACCAAATGAATTACAAGTATTTTCTTGCTGGAATAAAATTTGTAGCAGTTTTTCTTGATTGTTTCTTATTTCTTTGGACGTGGAAATTAAACAAGCTCCTGTTGTTAGTGCCAAAAATAATTCTACAAGTGACGGATCAAAACTTAATGGAGTTCCGAAGTAAATCACATCAGTATGTGTAATATTAAAAAATTTTCTAAAATATGAAGAAATCATCAATAAAATATTCCGTTTTCAGAAATTATTTACGAAAATACTTACATAAATGATTTTATATTACTAAATATGGAATTTTCTGTAACTTTGACAATCTTTTTCGTCCCTAAAGTACCCGATGTTGTGATAACATAACATATTCCAGCAAAATTCAAACTTTTCTCAAGTTTTTCCGGAGTTTTTAAGTTAATCAATTGAAAATTGAAACAACAGCCTTTCTTGGTAATATAAACATGATTTTCATGTAATAAAGCTGTCTTTTCATTTCTATGATTACTACATGTTATCAACGCGTACAAAACGACATTGTTGTTAACATAATCATGATATGGCTCATTTTCATCAAGCAGTAAAAACGCGATTTTACATTCCAATAAACTAAAATAATTCCTACTAATATTTAAAGCTAAATAAAGTATAATATATTACCAATAAATCACAGGTAAGAGGCATGGCTTCTTGCCCAATTGAACTCCCACAAGCGCACCTTTTGGTACATCACTAAACATTTGTTTTATTTGTTCACTTTCTTGTTTTAATTCGTGATAAGTTTGAGAGTACGAAACATTATTATTGTCATAATAAATATATGCTAAATTAGTGGAGTGATTTTTAATAGAAGCATTGATTAAGTTATTCATTATTCTATGAGAAAATAGAGGTTTTAATCCAATCAAATTTAGTTCAGATCAAGTTCTGCGTCTTGATAAGGCCTTGCATTTTGACAATTTTACTCGTCAGTTGTCTATAAACATAACCTGAAAGTGTTAGTATCCGACGCGCTAAATTAAACTTATTTATAAAACTGCCGTGCATTTATAAATAATTGTGTATCTTCATCAAAATGGGCGAGTTCAAGCTTCATCTACTGACGCAAGAGTTACTTGATAAATTAGGGTATGTATTCTATATGGATCTTGTTTAAAATGGTTAAAATGTCTGTTTTATCTAACTCTTTATTGTGTGTTGATAGCAACAAAAGCAGTCCAGCTGAATATGTGGAATATTTACAAAAACACATTGCTTCTAATAGTACAACAGTTGAAAATGTAAACTTTCCATCACCATCACACCTTCAGCAGCTGGCTGAAAGATCCAATAATCCCCAGGCTTTCATGTCTAAATTTGAAGATCTCAAGGAAAAAAAGTAAGAAAACCAAAGCATAATAGTATTATGTTATATTGGTTTTATTAAAATCAAAATATCTTTTAGTGTGGATTCTCTTGGCCAATATATTGATTTAATGCAGAAAATTGGTCAAGATAGTAACATGAGAGAGTTTCTTGCACAAACTGCTAGTAAATTAAACAAACAGGCCACCAACAGTGCACCTATAACTAAGGATACTTTACCACAGGTATTATTATTTAACTTTTAAGTTCATTCTGCAGTAGAATTTCATAGTTTATACTTATTTTTATTTTTAATGCATTTAGGTGAGAAGCAGATTGAAATCTGCAGCTTCAAATAAATCTCGCGATAAAGAACCGACGAAAAGAGCGTCCGCCATTAAAAGTAGTCTTTCAATGTCTATTACACCATCAGTTACTTCCTGGATACAGCGCCGACCATGCATGTCCTGGGATTTCTCCGTCAGCAGTGCTTCTCTCACACACACCATCAACAACATTCCAGTTTGTTCACAAGAAAACATCATCATTGAAGATCTGCTAAACATTTTTATGGGGCTTCCTGCTAATTTTATTGAAGTGCAAGAGCTTAAAGATCCATATGATCCACGTGAATTTGTCTTGAATGATTTTATTGATCCTTCAGTGAAAGAATTAGTAAAACGCATGCTGCCACTAGCATCACATTATTCTATTATACAGAGATTTACCGAGGAAAAAATGCGGTTTGAGTTTGGGCAAGTGAATAATGCACTTGCTGAAGACATGAGCAGTATTATCATTGATTATATGGTATGTTACATACATTCTAATTGGTTACATTTTCGTTATAAATTTTATTATAGACATTCATCGCACAATTGGAGACAGAATTTCGAAATGGTAATTTAACTCTGCAAAAAGTATGGTATTACATTCAGAAGAGCTTACACTCACTACAAATTGTTAGCAACATTGCCACAACAATAAATAAGGTATTTTTTAAATGAAATCATTAATTTATTTTGCTAATTTATGCTTTATTGAAGTCTGGTTCTTGTGGAGGTAAAGTATTAAGTCTTCTCCACGATAAAATTGCTGGAAATATCGGTGATTACAAAGCGCAAGATTTGTGCATTCGTTTAATGCAAGCTGCTTGCGTTCCATACATGAAAATGCTCGGCATGTGGATTTACAAAGGAATTATTGCGGATCCAATACATGAGGTACATTCAAAATATTTTTATTAAACAACCAAAAACTTTCATGAAAAATATTAATAGTTTCTAGTAGAAGATAATGAAGTGGTTCAAAAAGAAGACATGCCAGTTGATTATTCCGCCGATTACTGGGATAAAAAATATACAATACGCCGTGAAAGAATTCCCAAATTCCTTGAACCAGTTTCCGAAATTATTCTTCGCGCGGGGAAATATTTGAACGTGATTCGCCAATGCGGGAAATCACTCAATAACAAAGTGCAAAACATCGAATATAAAAAAGAAGAAAAATTCTACATTGAATCGATTGAAACCGCCTACAAATTCGCCAGTCAGACTTTATTAAATCTTGTACTAGGAGAACAAGATCTCCTCGGAAGACTGAAATCAGTCAAACATTACTTCCTTCTTGATCAGGGCGATTTCATCGTTACTTTCCTCACGCTTTGCGAGAAGGAATTAAGTAAAGATGTCGCTGATGTGATTCAAACTCGTTTGGACTCTTTGCTTGATCTAGCTTTACGAATCTCAAGCGCAACTAATGATCCTTATAAAGATGATCTACGCACTGAATTGCTTCCCTATGATTTACAATTCCAAATGTTTAAAATACTCATGGAGCAGCAAAAACAACCAAAGGCAAAATCGTTAACTGTGATTGAATCGTTTTCGTTCAGTTACGAAGTAAGATGGCCATTGTCACTCATTTTGGATAGAAAGTCTCTTGCAAGATATCAAATGATCTTCAGGCATTTATTGCATTGTAAATATGTGGAACGGATGATTTGTCAAGTGTGGCGTGCGAACAAAGTCGCTAATAAGTTCCAAGCGGGCGCTGCGAAGCAATATCGCAATACTTTTGCGCTCAGACAAAGAATGTTGCACTGTGTTCAGAATTTAGAGTATCATATGATGGTTGAAGTGATTGAACCGCATTGGTGCATGTTTTTACAAAAACTTTCAAAGGTAATAATAGTTTTTATAAAATTATAGAAGATATTTGATTGTTAAAATTGAATTGTTTAGGTGACGAATGTCGATGAAGTCTTATCGATTCACAGCGACTTCTTGGATTCGTGTTTAAAGGATTGTATGTTAACTATTCCATCACTACTGGCTGTCGTCACGAAACTACTTTTAATTTGCGTGTCATTCTGCAAATTCATGCAGGTAGGTCATAGTTCTATCATGCAACAAAGCAACGCGCACTAAAGTGTGTTGAATGTTGAATTCTTAAAATGCAGTTTACAATATGTGCAATTTTATGTCTCGAACCTAGCAATCGGAACGGTATTTTGTGGAAGCCGAGTTAGGCTCGTTGCCAAATTCTTTCTACGAGTCCTTCACGCAGGTATAACTGAGTACGGCTCAGGGACATTCAAACGCACTCGATTGATTGCTCGCTCTCTCTAGTCGGCCATCTTGCGAGTATTATGTATCTGTTTACATGCTGCGACAGTCCTGTTCGCATAAGTACTTATGGAATGCCAATTAGTGTGCATTTGTGCATGTCGTTCTCGTCTTCCATTATGATTTCTCTGAAGTCTTATTAATCTTAGATTTCTGCGCTCGTGCCACCCATGTTTATTTAGGTTGTGTCTTATTAGAACTGCATAGAATTACATTTTCGTGTTATCTATCTATGATTGGGCTACTAAATCATTCGAAATCGAATTGTGTGTTCATTGGCTTCTCAACTTAGGAAATTTTACAACTCACTTCATACATATTGACTAAACATCGAAATTAATCAAGCTTTTACTGGCCCAATTATGGCTTGTGTCTTGTATCTTGCAATGCTTTAACCAAAACAAATACATATTTTAATACTTTATATCACTTGCTTAGGCGGAATCGATCAATCCTGAAGGTCACGAAGACATTCTTAGCTTCGAGCAGAATATAACACGGTTTGATACGGAATTCACCGGTGCCATAATGAATCTATTGGAGCAAATAAATAGTTTGAACCGGAGCGACAGTGACCACGATCGACTCTTCAATCTGTTATACAGGTATCGTTATTATAACTATTTAATTGACTAAATTAATACTCGGTATTTTCCCGTTCATTATTTATAGAATGAGTTCTATTTTCTCCTCCGAAATGTTAAAAGACTTCAAAAAGTTATTAGAAATCCTGTCCGATTTATCCACCGGAGGTATAGCCATCCCTCTTTTATAATTAATTCCTACCATCATATAATCTGTGTTTATTTAGTGCGCAAATAAGAACGAAAGTAAATGTTTGTTCGTAATTCTTTTATTTCAGATTGGACTTCAATGGCTTCTACTCGGAGCAATTTGCGCGAATGGGATTCATCAGATCGAACAATTACAGCCAGGATGCCTCTGGATAACAATCAATACCTTCCTTGAAATTCCCTGCCTGAATCTTCCTAATTAATATAATCAAGTGCCATGTGTTGTTTTGAGTCTAGATGTTGCTTATTTATTAATTCAAATAAATTCATTCAAGCTTTAGCAAAAAGTTATGTTAAGTGAAATTACATTTGCCAAACTTAAACATAACTTACATAGATACATTCATGACACATACAACTTAATATTTAAATAAATATACTTCTAAGAACTAAAATAAATTGTATTAAACAATTTGATAGTTTGGCTTTCTTATTGAAACTAAATTCTTTTCCATTTGATCAATACATATGCTAACAATGTGTTTGCCTGGCACCATAATTAATCCTAACATTCTAGGTTCCTCATTTGGTGTGGTCTCATCTTCAGGCAGGTATTCTGAGCAGGATCCAAGAATTACATTAGCATCTCTATCTGTGCACAGAAACATGCCAACCAGGACGCGTTTATCGGTCATTTCGATGCGTAATGGAAGATTCAACCATTTTCGTAACTTCTTTGCTCCCTCGGAATTCTAAGGACATAGTTATTTGGTAATCAAAACGAAATTTACGAAATAAATTGTTGACTAACATTTGTTACATTAATACTTTTTGCAGGTTCTTCTCCACTTTCGGAAGTTTCATCCCAGTCTTCGGTAGATTGACTTGTCGATGTGACTTCGGGTTTCGTCTCGTTAGTTTCCATTTCCCAGGACTCAATAATTTCGCAGGATTTGTTAATAATTCGTAATTTTGACAAAAGCTTGTAACCTCACTTGTTCCGTCAGTGCTGACGCTTTTGTGATACGATTAGGTCCGTAAAAATTACATACCGCACTTCACCACAGGCCGAATGATCATTCAACCGCAGTAAATTTCCAATTTATTCATGAAATTCAATTGTCAACATTCAAACACATCCAAAATTTAATGGTGAGTTTTTCCAGAATGAAAATAGAAATGGATCTGTCGAGTGTGAGGTTATGTAACGTCGCATGTCGGTGCTAAATTGTCTAGAAATTTTTATTATCTAATTACGGCGATCGCGATATTATTCCAGCATCGCATCTGTAACGTTGCACTCACTGTCGGCCAAATGCATCGCATCAACATCCTGCGAATAGGTTGCAATGAACTCCAATATGCAGTAAGTATATCATATTCTTGTACTAAGCATGTTTCTATTGCAATTTTTATTACTGATACAGTGCCGGTATTACTCAAAAGAAGTCCGCAAGACTTCGTTCTTCTCGCGGTTGTACGACAACCTGCGAGAAGAGATGGCTAAGAACAAAGAGATGAAAGAGTCTCTCAAAAAGTTCAGAGATGAAGCTGAGAAATTAGAGCAGAGTGATGCATTGAAGGCCGCCAGACAAAAATTCGAAACAGTCGAGAAAGAGGCGAGTAAAGGCGGCGAGGTGTTTAAGGAGCGTCTTTCTACCTTGAAAGATAAAGTATCTGGTGTAATTGAAGAAGCTGGAAAGGCTGATGTTGTCAAAAAGGCTTCCAAAATTACAGAGGATATTAGCAAGACTGTTTCACATAATATTCAAGAAAAGGCACAAGTTATTGGCAAAACCACAGCTTTTCAGACAATAAGTGAAGCTGGAAAGGCTGTACAAAAAGAAATAGATACTGATAGCATGCAAGGTATGATAAAACTTTAGTTTTAAAGTATTACAGTAATGAATAATACATTTTTTATGTTTCTAAGGTCGAGTATATCAAAGTCCAGTAAAATTACGAAAACGAACCGATACGGACGCTCTAGGCAAAGCTAATAAGTATTACGAACCGAACACGGAAGCACTCGGCGTGGAACTACACAAAGATTCAAAATTCTACGAGTCTTGGCAAAACTTCAAAGACAACAATCCTTATGTACACAAAGCAATGGACTGGAAGCTAAAATACGACGAATCCGACAATCCGGTGATACGTGCCTCCCGCCTGCTCACCGAAAAAGTCTCCGATGTCATGGGCGGACTCTTTCAGAAGACAGAACTTTCCGAAACGCTCACGGAGATCTGCAAAATTGATAACACATTTGAACAAAAACGGTTTCTCAAGCAGTGCGAAATGGACATCATCCCTAACGTCCTAGAAGCGATGACTCGTGGTGATTTAGAGATTCTCAAAGACTGGTGCCATGAGGGTCCTTATAATCTATTCGCGTTGCCGATTCAAGAGGCGTACAAGAAGGGATACATAATCGAATCAAAAATTCTCGATGTAGACAATGTGGATCTGGTCATGGGTAAGGTAATGGACCAAGGGCCGGTGTTGATTATCACGTTCACCTCGCAGCAAATCATGTGCGTGAAGGATTCGAGTGGCGGTATTGTCGAAGGTGATCCCGAGAAGGTGATGCGAGTGACATACGTATGGGTGTTGTGTCGCGATCCGACTGAGTTAAATCCACGCGCTGCGTGGCGACTTCTTGATTTATCTGCGAGCAGTAATGTTCAGTTGGTGTAATTTTTACCATGCAAAGTACAAAAAGTAAACAACTCGAGACGAGCGAACCGGTTTAGAAAACTAGCCGATTTTGTTGGTTTTATCAATTTTCTTTTGTATATATATATTTTCTTCGGTTATACAGCGCGAGTTATTACGGCGTAGGATAATACACATCAAATTTTACTTGATATGTGTGTATAATAACTTTATACATTGTGGAAAACACAAGAAAACAATAAAAATGACTTAAAGCCAATCTAAGCGGCGATTAACTGCGAACGATTTAATACTATGTAATTCGTAGTTAATGTTAAACGAGAGGCAAATCATTAAGTACGATTTAATTGCCAATTTAAAAATTGGCTTAGCTTTAAAAGATCATTATTTTTTATCAAGAGTGAAGCACATGGAAACACAAAATATGAACATTGAATTAAGGTACTGATGTTGTACTTGGTTATTTTCTTTACAATGATAGAGAAACTTTAAATAAAATGTTACTGTTTTCTAAATTATGTTTATTTGAAGGTCTATATTAGATTCACAGTAATAAACTAAGATTAACACAAAACTAAATGCGCAAATTGCATATAACTTTCTAGAACTTTTCTGGAGATGACATGCAACCAACATTACATAAAACTCGTATCTTCTAAATTTTATACAAGATTGTAGAACAATTACACACATATTTCTGTATTATAAATTATTTATTAAGTTTAAAAAGCTATGAGATCAAATGAAGTAAACTAGAATACATACTCAAAGAATAGGAGACATTTAAATCTACGATGAATATGACAGTCTCGCACATGTCTCTTCCGGCATCGCACGAGTTTGTTGGGCAGCCTAACTGCCGGCCTTTTCTAGTCCCAACATGGCTACAGCAAGAAAGGTTCTGGGCCTGATTAGTGCAAAACATTTAAAATTAATTGTACCACCAGCGCGAAGTGCATGTATCTCTGGCCGTTTATACCACCAGTGCGCGAATTGTCGACGGCCAACGATTGTCACCATCAACTTGTCCAACAGTCCGCCTGCAACCAGTAAGTGCATTTAGGTTACATCATGTTTTCAATCATTTTCCGTGCTTTGCACGTCTTTTGCGATATTTACAGTATCGTTCGTTTGGTTGACCTTTGATATCAGTGCCAGGTCTTTCCGCACTTTACTCCTTTGCCACTTTGGTGCATGTATTTTTTCCTATTAAGTTAAAACTTCTGCAATGTAAAGCATTACCACTAATAAGCATGTTAAATGTTCTAGAAATTTGTTTATATTGCTGATACTGAAGTATATTTCTTTGTAGATTTCCAGAGTGTGAGCAAGAACATTCACACTTCATCAAATCTACAAGCTAAGGATTATTATGAGACATTGGGAGTTAGTAGAAATGCTTCTGCTTCAGAAATCAAGAAAGCTTATTACAAGTTAGCAAAAAAATATCATCCAGATGTGAATAAGGATCCTAACGCTGCGAAAACATTTCAAGCTGTGTCAGAAGCATATGAAGTAACTACTTGTTTGTAATAATTTTCAACATAATTTCTATTTTGTGGTAGATTTTAGGTGATGATACTAAAAGAAAGCAGTTTGATACATATGGCGCGACTGCTGAACAAATGGGAGGAATGGGTGGTGGAGGACGCGGGTCAGGTCCACAAGGCTTCAGCCAAAACTGGCAATATCAAAGCACGATTGACCCAGAGGAGCTCTTCCGCAAGATATTCGGCGACGCGGCTTTCGGCGGTGGCAATCGCTCAGGTTTCGACTTTGCTGAATCGCAGTTTGGCTTCGGTGAGGCCCAGGAGGTCATCGTGCGGATATCGTTTGCTCAAGCCGCGCGCGGCACCAACAAGGATATCAACGTGAATGTCGTTGATACATGCCCGAAGTGTGCAGGTAGTCGTTGTGAACCGGGTACCAAGGCAAGTCGATGCAATTATTGCGACGGCACGGGTTTTGAGAGTGTCACTCGTGGCCCATTTATGATGCGTTCAACATGTCGCTATTGTGAAGGCACACGCATGTACATCAAGAGCAAGTGTATTGAATGCGAGGGCAAAGGTCAGACTGTACAAAGAAAGAAAGTTACTGTACCTGTTCCAGCAGGTATGCAAATATATTTATATTTTTATATTTATTTGGAAGTTACGTGACGTGATTTGTTACAGGTATTGAAGATGGACAAACAGTGAGAGTTTCAGTTGGTCGACGTGAATTGTTTGTTACGTTCCGCGTTGAAAAATCGGATTATTTCCGTCGCGATGGTGCTGACGTTCACACCGAAGCTGAAATTTCTGTTGCACAAGCCTTACTTGGTGGTACAATTCGCGTACAAGGATTGTACGAAGATCACACTATTCAGGTTTTTTTTTTCTTTGTTTGAACTTGTAAGATTTAATGCAAATATAAAATTTTAATGTGTGTAGATTCTCCCTGGAACATCTTCGCACACACGACTCCGTTTGAGTGGAAAGGGAATGAAGCGAATCGACGGTTACGGTCACGGCGATCATTACGTGACCTACAAGATATCAGTGCCGAAATATCTGAATAAGGAGCAAAAAACGTTGTTGCAAGCCTACGCCGAGTTGGAGACTGACACGCCAGGCCAAATTTTGGGTGTTACCGTCAAATCAGATGGTAAGAAACGACGTAACTAGTCATTTCGCATGACTGCACGAACATTTTTCATACATTTACCATCACATTAATATCGGTGAAGGTTAACAGATTTTGTACACATTTGAACTAACCCTATACCCAAAACGCTAAGGAAAAGTGCGTTAAGTTGAATATGAAAGTCGAGTCGAACAAATTACAATGCGGAGTCGGAAGTTGGAAAATTGACAGTTTTTAATTTAAGTTGTTAATAAATTGGTTTTTCCTATCGTGTCCGTTGTCATTTTTTGTTTGTTTAATTTGCCACTTGTTTTTGCGGCAGAAGCACAGGAGCAATGTCTGATCTAACGCACTTTTTCTTTGGCAGGGAAAGGCAAGCGCGGCGGCAACGAGGATATTCCGCTCGCCGGGTCCGAACAAAAAGCCAAACAAAGTGCGAGAGAGCAGGATGCGAAAGACGAAAAACCTGGCATTCTGTCTAAAATCAAAACGGCTATCTTTGGTTGATGTGCGGGTTACTGATTAGAGATTACCAGATTTAACGCAGTTATTTGACGTTTGCGATGTTTTACACTATGCAAGCGTCTCATTCAAAATTTTGTTTGGTTTGGATAGTTCGGGTTAAAATATGATAGAACTATCACTTCCATAACATCTCCTTTTGTTTTAATTTCACATCATAATTTGTTAGTTAGTTACGAGATTTTATTGTTTATTAATTTATAGTTGACGATTAAATTTATATCGTATACGAATTTATTTCCTGTAATTACAATAATATGTGTGTTGTTTATTTATTTATAGGAAGTAAAATCTCTGTGAATGATCCATTGAATCTTCTCGAATCTATTAGAGGCGTATTGGAGGAAAATAGAAAACAGCAGGCATCTAAAAATAGTCAGACACAACAAACTAAAACCACTGCTAGCCCTAGTACTGATACGACATTGAATGATTCTAAAAAGTCGAAACCTTCTTCCAAAACAGCCCAGCCGGAAAAACCAGCGCCGCATCCAAAAACAACAACTGAGGGTAGTGGCGGTGCAAATTCTAAATCTACCGAGTCTACAGATGCAGATGCACTGAATGATGAAATGGATCTAAAAAAAGAAAAGAAGGCTACGCGTAATTCGTAGCCTAGTTTTGTAAATTACTAAACATTCTTCAATTGGCATTGAATCTTTTGATATTGATGTCAATTTAGTGACAAATTTCTGAATAATATTCGTAACCTACTATTATTTTGACTTTCCATGTTGCGTGTAGTTGGTTTATGATTGAGAGATGTTATAATCTGTCGACAGAGTTTATAAGTTTATAGTGCCTGAAATATAGATGTTGGAACAAAAGCAAGCGGGTTACAACATGCTTCCAATTCTGTATCGCTAGGAAAAGTAATTGAATATTTTTGTCCATGTCATGTAAAATTTAAAAAAAGAAACCTAAGCAGGAAAATCCTGCAAAAGTCCTCCCCGGCGGGGAATCGAACCCCGGTCTCCCGCGTGACAGGCGGGGATACTGACCACTATACTACCGAGGACTTGTAAGGATATCAAAATCCTTGGCTCTTAGTCTTTTAATCGATCAACAAGTGATTTCTAACGCTTTATTATATAGATTTTTAATAATAATTGTGATACCACAAATTTTATACACTTTTCCGTCTAATTACATTGTCTTCAGTTCATGAATGTCTAGACTGATAGTTTTAGAAACTGCTGTCATATATATACGCGGTGTGTGTTAAACTGGGGGGATAACCAGAATACATTTTTCCTGCTCCTGCAGGTCCTCGGTAGTATAGTGGTCAGTATCCCCGCCTGTCACGCGGGAGACCGGGGTTCGATTCCCCGCCGGGGAGGACTTTTTGTCCTTTGTTTATCTTTTAATTAATTAGTTTAGATTCCCCCCATAATTTTGTTCATTTTGGTGAGAAGACAGGGGCGCAAACCCTATAATAACTCTCGCCCTCATCCAACTCACCTAAACCAAGTTACGCACTTGGTGACTCCAATTCTTGTTTCCCCCCAGTAGAAATGAAATCAGTAAAATACCCTTTTATGTACGATTTCTTACCTCGATGCGTTTGCATTTCTCAGCGGCTTACCTACCCCCTCCCTTTTCTGCGGGTTGGGCGCAGGTATAACATAGTAGCGCGCAGAGACCAGAGTAGGGAGACGTCCATTAGGTCTCGTGATAGCTCTTTCTTCTCTCTTTTAGTTTCTCTTTTTAAGATAATGATAATAAAGGGACCGGCTATCAACTAATAATAATTCATAATATAATCAATGAAGATTAAAACATCGATGATATCAATCAATAATTTATAATAAATACATATCATTATAGAGAGATATAAGATTATCTACGCTGGTTGCATTAAGCTGATAAACCGTCATACACCGTTCATCCCTTCCGTAAATAAAACATTCATTCATATTCAGCCCTTTTATAAATGTCGCAATACGTGCAGTAATAAACAAAGCTATTTTCATTATACCGAAATAGTTGTTGTTGTTTTTTAATTGATGACGTTTATAGACATGAATTATGAAATTCCAATAATAATTTCACCGAATGGCGATGTTTTTATTCACTTTGATTTCCTTAATTACATTTTGAAACAATTCGATAACATCACCAAATTTTCAGTATATAAAGCCAAACATTTCCGAATGAAAATATAGTTCTCAAACAGTTCAACTGGTACACTAACTTAAAACAATAATATCATCATTATTTATTCAAAAATGTGGTTCTCAAAAATTGCTTGTTTCTTTACTCTTCTTGCTGTAAGTAAGGCAGCAAATATTCCAGTCGGTGATAACAGCACCTATCCCGATGAAGAAGTAGAGGGAAAAATTGTTGGAGGGACTCAAACCACCATTAACGATTACCCTTATGCATTGTCTCTACAATACCTACTCAGCCACATCTGCGGTGGTGCCGTAATCACCCCGAAATATTTTCTATCAGCCGCACATTGTTTTGCCGATTTCCAAGCATTTTTATACACGGTTCGATATGGAAGTTCATCACATTCATCAGGCGGTCTCGTGGCGTTAGTCGGTGATGCTTACACCCATCCAGACTACAACCCAGACACCATTGACTACGATATTGGTGTAGGATGCATCATAGGATCTTTCAAATTATCGTTTATTACGAAACCTATTGCTTTGTACCAGCCCGATCCTGTTGTTGGTACTTTAGCTGATGTTGTCGGTTGGGGAACTGAACAGGAAGATGCTACCACCATTCCTGATATTTTAAGAAAAGCGCAGGTGCCTATTATTACCAACGAAAAATGTCAAAATCAATATGGCGTTAATGGTAAGTAAATAAAAATTGTTAGTTTAATAATATACTGATTTGTTGTTATTTATTTTCAGCTATTACACCACGTATGATTTGTGCTGGTTACCAACAAGGTGGTATTGACAGTTGTGCAGGTGATTCTGGTGGTCCACTTGTCGTAGAGGGTCAGTTGACTGGTTTAGTTTCCTGGGGCAATGGGTGTGCCAGGGAAGGGTTTGCTGGTGTTTATAGCAGGGTGAACACCATGCAGCCATGGATTGTGAGTGTTACAGGACCACTGTAAATATCCTCACAGTACTCGTACTTACGAGTTTTACTCGTATATAATGCAAATGTAGCTTGCATATTTAGTTATAATTACTTATTCAATTCTTGTTTAATTGTTTCTTCAATATTGTTGTATTAATTGTTGTAAAATGTTTTAATTTGTTGTTTTGTTAACATATTTGTCAATCTGTTGCTTAATTTTACTTCCACGATAATAAAATCAATGAAAATGTAATATATGTTTTAATTATGTGTTTATGACTAAACTTAATGAACTTACTACTCTATACTAGTTGTAAAATTCAACAATGTTTAAAGTAAACTATGAAACAATGTTTTGATAAAGTTTAGCGTAACGCAAATAGCAATGAGTTATGGGTAAACGAATATTCATAACTTAGCTAATATTTGCGAATATTAATCAACTGGGTTTTTAAGAAGTAAGAGACTAACAAATATCTGTTGTGTTATGTGGAATCACTAATATAACTAAGTATGCATTTATTGTATTTTCTATAATTAACTGAAATACGTTTTCAGTATTTTACGTCGTTTTCTGCATTTTTTTTATCTCTGAAACATTCCGGATTGCCCAATTTTGTTTGCTCGTTTTATTATCTACGATTTATTGAACACCATCAAAGTTAGGTTAAGTTTAAGTTTACTGTTGATAATTCAACATGGCGGTAGGCATTGTTTACAGGCACACATTATTTCTGATTTCACGAAAGATGAATAACAGTATACTCGTATAGGATTACAAGTGAATCTGCTTGCATTGCCAAATCAATATTCCATGCTGACCTTCACATTGCTTGGTTCGAAGATTAACCGGATATGACGCATTTCCACATTTATGATTTGCAAATCCCAAAGCAATAATACACGAAAAAATAAAAACAGAGATACTATTGCATCAATTATTTATTGGATTATTTTTATGAATGAAAACAAAAAATAAACAACAATAATATAGCTGAAATTACTGAAACTTACAAAACAGTGAAACAAACTTTACTTAAACCCATTATAAACAAATAAATTTTTACTGTATAAACCCACAATTTTATGAATTAACTACAGTACTACACCACCACGAAAAACACAAACATGTAGAATACAAATCTTCTTTGCAATTTACTAATCACCTTAATTGTGGGTACAACCGCAAATATACAACCTAAACCTGGTACACCCAAAATAGACGAAGGACGCATTGTAGGAGGAGATCAAGTATCAATTGAAGATTACCCTTATCAAATCTCAGTGCTATATCTCGGTTTGCACATATGTGGTGGATCAATCATCTCGGAATGTTATGCAGTAACCGCCGGTCATTGTACAGATGGTATCCAAGCTGCCACATTGGCTGCACGTTACGGCAGCTCAATACAAAACTTTGGTGGATTAATCAATCCTGTACCTCAAGTCTTCCAACACCCAAATTATAATAAGAACACTATTGATTATGACATCTCAGTGTTGAAGTGCTACTTACCTTTTTTGTACTGCCCACCTATTCCTCTTTGTTCAAGTGAAGTCCCCATGACCAGTTCATCTGCGTTGTTTTTACAAGCAGCTGAGGTACCAGCTGTGTCTGATGGGCAATGCAAGGCGGTTTATAGTGTTGCAGGTAAGTTATTAGTAATAAAAAGCATTTTAATTAATTTTTTAATATTCGTACTTATTATTTAGCTATTACTCCTCGTATGATGTGCGCTGGATATCCACAAGGTGGCGCTGGTGTCTGTTATGGAGATTCCGGTGGTCCTCTGACATTCAATGGCGAGTTATGTGGTATTACCTCTTGGGGAAGAGGGTGTGCCCAACCAAAAATAGTCCTGGTGTATTTACTAAAGTGTTTGTGTTGTACGATTACATAACGGGGATTACAGGACCACTTAATTAACCTATATTTAAGTATTAGTAATAGTAATTTATTATTTCGTTATAAGTAATTTTAAAAAGGCATCAGAATGAACCAAATAATGTTAAATAAACAATAAATAAGTTATGGAAAATCAATTTATTTTCACATGATTCTGTTATCAACAAACGTGCCTTATTATTATTGTTTAAAATAACAATTTGGATAAAATATGAATGTTTTGAGTATTAAATTGTTCTTCTTGATGAATAATCACATTTTTTATTTGTTAAAACACAGATCTTTGCTACAAAATCATTGTTTCTGACGTTATTAGAATATAAAACGTGTTGGCAAACGTTTTACACCAAATTTTCTCCACCTACACTTTAACAATAACTATAAATAACAAACATTTATTCATATCAACTTAGTTTACTTATTACCACCTTAAGACAGCAACAAAATGTTACTGTTGCTACCCTGTTTCTTTTTGATAATTTCATCTGTTGGTAGAATGTCAGCAGAAGAAACAAAAATTGTTGGTGGATCTCCAACCGTCATTGAAAAGTTTCCTTACCTAATATCTCTACAACAATTTAATAGTCATATATGCGGTGGTTCAATTATTTCTTCAAACTATGTATTAACCGCCGCACACTGCACGTATAATACACCAGCTATAACCTTAACGGTAAGATATGGAAGTTCCAAACATACTGAGGGCGGCTCTGTGCTTAGAGTAAGTTGCGCAATGGAACATCCTAACTACGACCCAGTAACTCATGACTACGACGCGGCTCTACTTAAAGTGGCACCACTGTCACTGTTGATGAAGTTACCTGATTTACCAAGGATTGCACTTGGTACCACTGAAATCCCTGATGGTACCTTACTCACTGTGACCGGTTGGGGGACTCTTGTAGAAGGTGGTGGTATATCATCAGTTTTACAGACTGTGAACGTCCCAAAAGTACCTGAAAGTGATTGTAAATCTGCGTATGCACCTCTAAGTAAGTTTTCTAACAATATTGAATAGATAGAATGGTTAATTTTGATTATTTATAGCTATTACCGACCGAATGATATGCGCTGGTTATATTGATGGAGGTAAAGACTCCTGCCAGGGAGATTCTGGTGGTCCCCTTGTTTATAATAACGAACTTGTTGGAATTGTTTCATGGGGTGAAGGATGTGCACAGGCAGGAATGCCAGGTGTTTACACAAAAGTATCTGCAATTAATATAAATGATTTCTTCTCAGAAGGCAATTCTTTTACAACATTATTACGGTGTCAATTGTAAAATAAACTACTCCACATGTTTTAGTCTTATGTTTGAATGCAACATAACCTAATTTGAACCGATTTCGTTTTTTATGACGCCATGACGTATATTCATTCATAAAAACAATAAAACTACGGAAGAAACCAAGTCATATTTATTATTACGCCAATTGTAATAATATTGCAATGAAACTTAATTAAACACCTTAATCAAACATTTTTTTACTATAAAAAGATGTAACCAACATGTTACCACTTCATGAAAAAACAAACATGGTGAATTTAATATTTTTGTATAGTATTCTCATTGTGGGTCTTTCCATTGGTACCCAAGCTAAATTTCACAATAGAATCGTCGGAGGCAATGATGCTTCCATCGAAGACTATCCCTATCAAATCTCCTTACTATCCATGGGTCAACATATTTGTGGTGGTTCAATTATTTCTCCTTTTTATGCCGTGACTGCCGCTCATTGCACAGATGGTTCTGATGCTGTTTCATTATCTGTCCGATATGGTAGTTCGATCAGGAATGCTGGAGGACTGATCAATCCTGTATCGGAAATTTTTCAACATCCTGACTATGACAAACCAACCAATAATTATGACGTCTCAGTGTTGAGGTTTGATGTTCCCTTCATAGAAAGTCAATTTGCACAGAGTATTCCTTTGTGTTCATGTGAGGTTCCTGAAGGTGCACTTACCACAATCAGTGGTTGGGGAGATACTGTCGATGGGATGACTTCTCCCCCTATGGTTTTGCAAGCAGGTGAAGTTCCTAGGGTTTCTGATGAGGAATGCAGAAGACTTTTAGGAGAAAACAGTAAGATATCTTTTTATAGAGAGTTGTAGACTATACTTTACTTAATTTTTATTTTTGTTTAGTAATTACTGATGAAATGTTATGCGCTGGTTATGCAAAAGGTGGAGTTGGAATTTGTTTTGGGGATTCCGGTGGTCCCCTGGTTTATCATGGTAAACTATGTGGGGTTACTTCAGGCGGATTTGGTTGTGCTCATCCCAACAGTCCTGGAATTTTTGCAGATGTTATTGAATTCGTTCGGTTTATTACTGTTATAACAGGACCATTAGATTAATACGAAATAGAATCAATTGAATTATAATCACGTCAAAAAATCATCTATTTTAGTATTAAAAACATGTAAAATTAAAATTAAACGTTTATGCATTCATGTGGATGAATTTTCATATATTGCTGTGTATGTGCTGTATGTGTGTATGCATACCTGTAACAGCTGCAACCAGAAATGCAACGCTTGCAACAACATAACAAGCGCGGTGTTATCGGCGTTTGCGTTTTGTTCTCGTTCTTTCCGACTTCAACCGAACGCGAATCGGCCACAGTAAACACGCACCGGCTCACCTCGCTTTGCTTCAGTTTATTTCCGACCGTGTTTCGTGTTACAACGTAACGCTTCGCGTATCGTTTTCAGCGCGTCTAACAAAACCGACCACTGACCGGAATGTGAGATAGTGAGAACACAAACTGCTCGCTAATAATTTAAATCAAAATCAAAATAAAATAAAATAAAAGTGTAGTGTTTTTATTCGAACTTAGAACTCTGATTATAAACTTGTATGCCGGAGTAAATTGGACTTTATTCATGCCGATGCCGATAACAAAACAAACAATAACAACAACCGCACAACAATGGAAGAAGAACTGAGATGCTTCGCATGCAAGCAATTGTACAATAACCCGGTGTTGTTGCCGTGTTACCACGCGCTGTGCCTCAACTGCGCCGTGCACATCCAGCAGCCGGTGGTGCACAATGGCACCGCAGCCAACGGCGCCGGCGAGAATGCCGAGAGCGTCGCCAGCGGCTCTTCCACCAGCGATTACCAGGAGTCCGATAAACTATCCATCTTAAGCGAGACGGACAGCGGTGTCGTGTGCACCTCGCGGCCCAGCAGCTACGTGGGCACGCCGAACGGCGGCGTCTACGCCAGCGCGCTTAATCTCGCCTGTCCTGCATGTCACAAGGTCGTCTACTTCGACGAAAACGGCGCCCATAATCTACCCAAGTTCCGCGTGATGCAGCATATCGTTGACCGGTACGGCGCGCAGCGCAATCTCCAACACAAATGTCAGATGTGTGCTGGTGAACCAGCCAACGACGCCGTCGTCGTCTGCGAGCAGTGCGAGATCTTCTACTGTGAAGATTGTCGCGACACGTGTCATCCCATGCGCGGGCCACTGGCTAAACATACCATCGTCGAAGCGAAACGCGGTTCTTCTTGTCCGGTGAAGTTACGCGATGGAAAGTGCGCTGAGCACGCCGAAGAGAACTTGACGATGTACTGCATCGTCTGCAAGAGCGGCGCGTGTGCCCTATGTCTCATGGATGGACGACACAATTCGCATGATGTGCAGGCCATCACGACTATGTGCAAGGCTCAAAAGGTAAGGCGATTGTTTTAAACAATAACACCGCAACCTGACAAAAGGTCGCAAACTCGACCGCGGGAATACGGCGTGAATTGTAATGAGTTTTGAGTGGCGGGGTATTCGTGAGAGAGTTGATTATCATTGTCCTTGCATTGTTTTTTTAGCTGCATTCACACTTTTACAATGCGCGTCGGGTTTTGTTCGCTGCGGCGACGGTGACAGTGACAAATTATGCGAGAGATAAGGGAAAAATGTTGGAGAAATCAAAGGCAATTATTTTTGACATTGTAGTCACTTTCTTCCGGGAATAATTAAAATTTTATCTTTGAAACAAACAAATAAAATGCAAAAAATGCAAATTTTACACTAAAAACTTATTTTTCACAGTAAAAATTTAAAAAAATTTATTTTTCTTATTAAATCATCACTTTAGTCATGGTTTTGATTAACTTTGAACATTTTCATTGTTAATTATGCGTAAATTGCTTTGAAATCTCCCCGAAATTACAATTTTCAACTGTTGGGATGTTTTCATAGCGATTTCTTTGATTTTCAAAGAAGTTTCAGTCACAGCTGGCTCCCTGACACGTGCCTCTTTGAAATCAGCTCCCAGAATTCACGATTTATTTATATATATTAAACCAAGCTGGTTTCTGCTTCCAAAAAGTCATTTGTCACATATTTTCACGTGACACAAAACGTGGATTATTTGTTTCGTTGGATAATTTCGTTTTTATTTAATGTGTTAACATGTTTCCATTCGAACTAAAGCTAAACGTTTTGTATGAACGAGTGATGTGTGCTTTGCTCGGACACCAGAAAGGCATTATTCGGGCATCTGTCGCCCATTTCCTTTGTTGCGGGCGTGTGAGACGCGCGTGCCGCATGTAGAACATCACAGGAAAGTTCGAAGGTTCGTTCGTGTCGCATGTCGACCACCACTACCAATTCCTATTCGATTCGCTTGATCTATGATTTTACTATCTGCGATCATGTTCAGGCGTTTAGACGCTTGTCACTTCCATCTATCTAGAACGCTATTGTTGTATCAACATTTACAGTCAAACACGTTTTATCAATTTAAGTTTTTAATATTTTATTATATTAAACACCCTGTATTATATTCTGCAGTTATTCGTTTTGATAGATACAAAACTGACGCTTGGATTCGTGTTCCGCAACGTTTCGGATCACAGTCCTGACGTTTATTATCCGGTTATTATTTATTTGCGTCTATTGTTCGCCGTGTCGCAATCGTTGAAGACTTTTGAAGTGTATAACAAGACTCGCGCAATCGTGCGGCGTGCAATCAAGCTGGAAATTTATTGAATTTTAACTATCGCGCGTTAATCAACTCACAATGCGCTGCGTGTTCAAAGAACATCGAAAAACGTTCATCAGAAGGCGAAAAAACGCTTTAAAATACCACGACGTGCAAAAAGTTTAAATATTCGTGGGTTTCTGACATCCCTAGGCATGAAAATGATGAATTATTATTGAAACCGCCATAAAAACGTTTTCATTCGTTTCTTGCGAGAATTCCACGGATGGTGTCGCCGGAATTAAATGCGCTATGAAACAATAAAGAAACGCACACTGGATTTTGCCGGGTATAACCACAATTCCAGTTAGAATACTTACGCCGAGTCAAAGGGTTCGCGTGTTTGGGTGGCGCAGTAACGCGACACTAACAACGCCGATTGCCACAATTAATAGTCACGGAATGGTCCTAACCGTGTTCGTATTCCCACCCGCATGAAAAGAACTTCTTGCTTAACCCGGAGTGCCAACTTGAAACTTTGTAAAATAACACCGGGGAGTTTAGGCTTAAGTTGATCGCAGATATGATAGGGGTGTTTATGATTCGGGTCCAACTTATCCATCCAATCATGCTCGACGTAAATCATTTTAAGAAACGTGCCCGGCGAAAACTAAATCGAGTTAACCTAAATTTCTAGGGTCGAGAACAACGCGTAAAGTTTCTCTACTCGGGGGGCAGCAAAAAGCTTATTTGTAAATAATTGAGAGGGAGCTTGTTATACGCCAGCGAAATCCACGAATTGTTGTCGAGTGGTAGTTTAATGAAGTTCCTGCCGGACGTGGATAACAATTTAAGTGGATCGCAATGCAAGAAATTCAAAATATTTGGTATAATCCACGGGGTTATCTCTTGAGTTTACTTCGCGTCTATGAAATATGAAATTCGAAATGTTTCGAGGAGGATATAATAAGAGCCTGAAAGCTCCCAGCTGCAATTGTTGCTAGGCTGCAGGGGTAATAAATAAGCGCATCCAGGACGCGTTTGTTAGTGCCACAACAATAGGCATGACAAACTTATTGGGATTATATCGTCGTGGGTTATTTACGGCATATTCCCAGACGTAATTCATTCTTCGATTTTATATTTTTAATGAGATGCAGGAGGAAAAAGTTTTCTTCGGGAAGAAAATTACAATATAATTAATTTTATTTTATAGAAACGAGAAATGCTTAAAACATACTTTAGCGCCATCTGGATTTGAATAATTAAACTTTCTTTACGATTAAATCTCTATATGAATTTGCATCGAGTATTTAACACCCTGTATATCATAATTTTTGGTATTTTAATAATTATTCTGCTATTTTGGGTCAAGACGAATCCAATAAATCATAAATCAATAAAATCTGTCCAGCCGTTCATGAGTTATAAATGTTTTAACTAACGCAACTTTTAAAAAAATTTAAAATATTGTTTTTTTTATTTTTTAAATTTTCTTTTCTCTATGAAATTGAAATAATGTAATTATTTATATATACAGACTTGTAAAGTTCTATTTTCGAGCTGCTTTTCTTTGTTCATTGTTCACCGTGAAGCTGAAAAAGAAAACACGAATCAGAGTAAAGAATCAAAGCAGCATGTAAGAAGGAAGCCTTGAAGCCATAGGTGTAGTAATGTAGTTATACAGGTGTAGCAGAGATAGTAACAGCGCTTTTTATGCGTGCGCTGGAATATTTCCTGTGCCGTGCGAGCTTTTTTCGTTTTCTTATGGAATTGGAGCAGCTTTGAACGACGAAGCACGGAGATATCTCTACCTTGCAGCCGCTTTCAGCCAAGAACAAGACTTGTTTGGTGTTTTGTTCAATTTAACAGAGTGGAGGAGCTTACAAAGCTTTTGATTCTTATATATTCACATAAACTAAATTAGAAAATTAGATATTATCTAATTTTATGTGAAAAATAGCAAGTTTTTCATGTTTTTCTTGGTTATATTATGATTATGATTTGCGTTCCATGTCTTTCTTGAGCCTTTGCCCACCTTACCTCTACCACAACCGGTTTTGTACGCGGCTGGTAGTGATTGGGGCCGGGGTCGACATGACCTGATATCCGACAGGCCCCAGCGCGCATTCTTTTATTTTCATTACGATATTCCATACACGCCATGTACCTTTATATGTACAATCCGTGTGATATGCAAGATTCGTTTCATTTACATGCGTATTGTGTGCTCGGGACACCGCGCGTTTGTAACATACGGCATTATGAAATAAAATTTATACCTTGCGGGCTTTCTCGACGTAAGAAAGCTGTAAGCGGTGAGCGGACGATCGGAATAAAAATGAAATTCTACTGTTACCGTCGAGAAGAAATGCTGGTGGCGGTGGAGGCGGCTAGCAGTGGCTTATTTCGAATGCACTCGCGGAGACGATAAAAGTGCCATGAAAATAACGAATTCATTCGATTATATCAATGAAATATGCTGTATTGGAATATTTCGAATTGAGAATATGGAAAAATGTGACAGGGATAACAATGCGAATGAGAAGTGACATTTATTCGGGTATTATATGAAAAAAATACAAAAATCACTAAAAAACAACGTAAAAGCATTGTTTTTGGAAATATTTTACGTCTGTTGTAAAACTGGTTTGTGCTAAACACGTCGGTAACACGTTACGACATTTATTGACGTTCAACACATCAACGTCTTTGATTTGATACGTTCTTTTCTCGTTTACTCCGGCATGTACTCTCGACGGACCAACATCACACTACCATGAGTAGTAGTAGTGCTTGGTCGTGTTGCCATCTCATGATTGCATATTGCATCAAAGCTCTTCGCCATCAAGAAGTCTGAGTCTGACTTGCGATTCGGGAGAATTTGCCGTTGCGGTCTCCAGCGTGGCACAAAACCCGCAGCGAAGAAGAAGTCTTCGCTGTGTTGTGTGCATGTTAGCAAGTTCATACATTTCATAGGCGGTTGGGTCGTGTGCGGTGCGAATGCACTTGGGATGCTGATGTTGGTCGCTCGTTCGCCATTCACTTGCATTTCTTGCCGCGCCGAGCATGCGAGATCGTAATGTGTTGTTGTTGCGTCGATTGCGATCCCAAGTGCATTTACCTTTCGAGTTTCAGAGGAAGAAATCGAAACATTTAAAGATTACCGGGGAAATAAATGTTCCTGACGCGGAATTTATTTTTTAGTATTTTATTCGAGGAGTTTTTTAGTATAAAAGTAATTCATTTTTAGGATTTGGTTTCTTAGACCTTGTATTAACGATTTCATTAATAAGATTAGAAATTTGGTTTATAGAAAATTGAGAAATGCTAATTGTAAACTTTAACGCCATTTAGATTTGAATTACTCTTTTTGATGTTTTAATTGTTATTCTGTTATTCTATGAGCAGATGAATCAAACAAGTCATAAATCATTAAAATCTGCCCAGCCGTTCTTGAGTTATAAGTGTTGTAACTAACACAACAAGCTTTTACCGAAGATATATATATATATATATATATATTCTTCTGATCATTTTCTACACTTTCTGTTCTTTTTTCTATGAAATTTAATTATTTTCCTTGTTTTTCTTAAATTGCATTTAATTTCTTATTCACTAGGCATTCCAAGGTGTTGTCTAGCTAACATAAAATAATCTTCAAAACCTAGAATTTTACCTTAAACAAAATACATTCAGTATAATCAGTATAATCTCATGCGCTTTTGCCAACTCCTACGCTCATTAGAAACATTGCACAGTTTTCAACTCGAGGGTGCAAACTAATTAAACGCTAAAATAAAGACAATGAATGTACGAGAACAATGTGCCAAGAAGCTACAAACAGCTAATGAAATAATATTTAAGAATTTAAGCAGCGCTCCTAGAATATGCGAGTATGCAGAACTTTTCATTTTCAGGAAAAGTTTCCAAGAAAACTTTAATATAAATATAAATTTCGTTCAATATTCAAAGGAAATTTATTTTTTATTTTATTTTCCACGAAGAAAATTGCGCTTTTTATTTTCTTCACCTGTTTACTAGTTTATTTGCTATTTCCCTCTTCGAGCATGGAATGAATCGGAATTAAAAGTACAGAAGTTGCGTTTCACGCCCGTAACTCGAGGGCATTTCATTATGCATACTCGAGTTCTTGTACTCGTACTTGTATTTAGTTGGTTATTTTATTTTTTACTTTTATTATTTTCCTGTACTCGTAGGAGGTAAGCATTTCCTTTGTTCACGGTTTATACAAAAACAATTTTTAGATTATTTCATTAATAACTAAATAAATCGGCTTTAGAATATTATCAAAAATATAAATTAATTAATTATTTTCGTTAATTTATTAATTTCTGTACAAAATAACTAATAATTCCTTTGTCGCTTTGATTGTACACGTAATAAATTGCTTTTCTGTTAACCTAGTAACCGAAACCGTGTGAGTTATGCGCAATTTATCTAAACACTCATCAATAAATTGCAACAATTGCAACAACCACAGTTTGCAATTTATTTACGATCGCGTGTTTGATAGTTATTGCGCTTGCATTTGTTTGTATTGATCCATTGAGGATTCAATTAATTCGTCCCGACGATTGGCAGGTTTTGTTTAAACAAACAAAACACAACACACGCATTTAAACGAAGCAATTACGCGCATTAATTATGGTTGATTCAGCCGCTACGCACACCATTGTTGCGTTGACAATCAAAACAAAAACTGTGTCAATTAAAACATCAGAAAATAAAACAAAACAAAACGCTTGATCCTACAAATTGATTAATATTTGCTTTTTGTTTTTGTTTTATTTATGTTTACAACATGTTTTGTAAACACCCTGTATGTATTATTTGGTTTTCGCATGTGTGACCGAATAATACCGTCATTTTGGTCCGGCACGAATGCGAAAATATTTGCATAACATGTCCGGAATTAATTAATTAGCATATTCGTAAAGCGAATTTCGGCATTTCATTACGTTCGACATCAACATGCATCAGCCCTTCGAGGCTCTGTACCACAGACCCCGATATAAAAACCCAAAACCAAAACCACCACTGGCTAAAATACGAAAATACCAAATTAAGCCGAAATATTACAATATGTTTGCGCATTAATTACGTTTTTGTATCGCAAGATTAGAAGATATTTTCGCTTCTTGTGTGTTTGTAATTTTTGGCATCGAAAATAACATGCAAACAACAGAAACAGAACACACACGATGCGACATTATGGCAACAGCAACAGCGGCAAGTGCGCAATTAATCATTTTCTTTTTGTTTCAGGTAAGGAATTAAAACGCAATTATCATTTATCCTCATTTATCCACACACACACAGAAAAGCAGGGAAACTTTGTTCGTAAGTAATTGCTGTAAAAACGGTAGCTTTACTAATTTTTGTGGATCACAACGTGAGTTATCACATAATAACGCATTATCTTGTATTTAATCTTTTTAAATGAATACCAGAGTATACAGAGGAGGTATTTTTGATGAAGGACACTCGTTAGGCTTTAGGTATGTTCGTTAGTCGTGTGTCGCCTGCATAAAGTCAAAGAAACATGCGCAGAGCGCTCAGTTCGTTTCGGTGTCGCTTCTAAATTTAACCAGAATGGTATCTTTAGCTTTTCGATGTTGAGCATAGTTTGCTCTTCAGTAGAGACCTCATTAATTATTTTTTTGCGCGTAGTTTTAATTTAGATTTTGAGTTATGATCTATTTATGTTTCGAAAATTGATAAAAATTTAATTAGAAGCAAATTTGATGAAAATATTACGTTTTACGTTTAATTTTATGCTGGTTAATGTGTTTATTGTGTTTAAATTTTACGAGTTTAATAGCTACGCATTTTATTTCATCATTAACGTTTATTTTTAGTTCTCTAGCGTTTATTATTAGTTTAGGTCAGTAAATTCGCTCAATAACATCGTCGTGGGAAGCGGCTATAAACTTTATCGTGGTTTTGTTTTGTATTGCGCACTCCTTGCACACCTTACTTGCATTCTTGTATTTTTTGGCATCTACTGCTTATTTAATTAAGTATTATTGCGCCGCCCGTCGTGCGCATTATTAACTATAAAACCACTTTGATTTTTCTCCGTGCGCACCGCTCTTGCTGGCAAAATATTAGAATTTTCGCGCGTGTTTATTAACAATAACCGACACTTGCGTTTACTCGTATGTATTGTATGCGCGTCATAAATGTCGTTCTTCATTTTCTTACGTGATGTAAGTTTTTGTTCGTGTTGTTATTTTCCGCATTTCCGGTTTTTATTGTGTGATATTTTTCGGCGGCATGTGTTTTGCGAAACAATAAAAAGCTCCGTGCGTATTTTTAGATCTACGTCGAGCTGGGGATCAGGCGCTTGGCTGTAATATAATAAGTTTTTATTCCTCGCTCATTTCCTTACTGAAATTATTTATTATTAAACTTCCGCGCGTGTTCTATACGAACCGGAAGGGCAGCTTGAGTGTGTTATGTCTTTACACACCAGATGTGAATAATATTTTATTCAAAATATTTGTTTTGTAAAAAATTGCAATTATAAAAGTACAGGAAACTTGGGAGACGGAATAATTTGCTATTTCAATTACAAACTTGGATGATTGATAATCCCGAAAGTTATAACTCGTAATATTTGCCCCGGTTTTCTTCCGCAAACTTTTCCGTCGATAACTCAAACGCAAACGTAGTTCTACGAGTTAAACAGGAATTAAAGAAACTTTGATTGATTGCAGCGCATTAAAAATCAATCAAAAAATCACCCAGTGATGTTTGAATGTAGTTGTAGTCCTTTTTGTGTCCTGAAGGACGCATTCTTAGCATCCTCGGTTACGCAGCACTTTTTTGTTGGGTTTGACGCACTTCGGTCGGAAGTTTATTTGATGAAAAAAGCCACTCAAACGTGTCGACGCGTTTTTTCAATCGACAGTTTCGCGCGAGTGTGGGTTGAGGGGTTGTGTGTCTGACGACAGCGCCATGCAACCTTTTCTAAGTGTAATCTGCTCGGAGAAGGAGAGGAAATGGAAGCGATGGCTGTGTGGAAAGCGGAAAGGGTTTAGTCATGCGAACATTTTCCTTACCGGGCTACGTTGCTGAATTTAGCAAATTTAGTTCTTTGCTCGAACCAGGAGCGCTCGTGCCACTAATATTAAAAATAAAATTAGTACGCGAGTTGATTTTGCACTCGTTTGAGATCAACCCTTTTAAAGCGATTCGAAATGCTGAGTTTTTCACTTTTGCAACTTTTGCGCTCTCGTAACTTTTTCCGCTTTTTACCGCTCGCTCGCCAAACATATTTCATCATTGATACGCGCAGAGGAACGCAACGCAAATTTATTTTTCGCTGGCTGCAAAACGTTTGCTTTTGCGGGGATGAAAGTGTGGAAAATGCTGGTGGAAATACGAAAATGTTTGAAGTGGTAGCGCGTCGATCCAAAGAGATTTTCAATTAAACTCTTCTCGAACACACTCGACCGACACATGTTCGACGTCGGGCATCAATCGACACGCACAACCCTTCTAAGCCTGTCTTGTTTCTTTTTCGTCGGAAAACAGGAAAACGCTCAAGTTGTACGGCCCAGCTTGTTAACAATCGGGGAGCAATAAAAGCGGATGAAAATTTTAATTTGAATCGGCAAAGGAGTGACTTTAATTGGAAGTTTGCTTACCTAACCGTCGTCAGCGGATTAATTGAGTATCTATCGAAAATTGCCAATTACACCAACCGGAAAGTTAATATTATACATGGTAGAAATTTATTTTTTATCTTTTAAAATTTAAATAGAAATAAATTAAATTTAAATTATTGAATTTAAATTGAAAGTTTTAAAAGGTTTTCTTGCGATTGCGGTGGTTTTTCTTTGAGCGTACAATGCGGAAGTCGAAATCGATGGAGTTGTCTTCGTTCCGAAAATGGTGGACGATTGCTTTTGATATAAAGATGCAATTCTCGCCTTCGGTGAGAGGTGACGCGTACGTCATCTGAATATTGTGTTCGGTGGGGTGTGTAAGGGTGATTTCTTGGCGGAATTTTGGCGCTGCTGACGGATTGCCGAAATATTGTGTTGCTATCCACACACCTCCAATGGCACCCTCCATTTCATTGTTGCCTAAAAATATATCAAAATATTTAATTTATTTTGGGAAATTTTAAAAATATTAAAAAAATATCTTTGTAAAATTGCATTTTTAAGTTTTAGTGTAAAAAATAGTATTTTATGCATGGTAAATTTATTGAAATGATTGATTTGATTGCTGATTTAGTTATTTTAGTGCTAAAATTTGTAATTTTGGACACAAGTGCGTAAAATGCGATTTTATACTCGAAAAAATGCAAAAAATGAATATTTGAGCATTGGAAGTTTAATATTTATGTATCATTGAAATATTATTGCGAAATTTAGTTAAAGTTAATATAAAATATGAGTTTTTTTCCTCTAGTGTGTAAAAGAAAACTTTTTCACACTCAAAATAAAACATTAAAACACAAAAAATTATAATTTAAACACTAGAAGCTTTGCGTGCCTAAATATGTCACTTTATACACTCAAATTTAATTTATTTATGTAATATCGAACCTTGTATACTCCAAAAAACATCGGCATTCGCCTTGATGCGCCAAAAGGTGTACGAGAACACCTTGCCAGACCGTGGAATGCAATCGCCGAATTTGTAGCTCTGATACATGTCCGGCACCGGCTCCGTGCCACATATCTTACTCTCATCCGTATTATCACTATAATCCACGTATAATCCGCCTTTCTCCATCAAATAATCATTGATATTCTCGTCATTTTTGCGCTCGAACACATCACAATCATGATTTATAACCATATTAACCCTATTACTATTTTGTCGATTATGTTTGGCGTGCTGTAATTGCCCGGTGTTGTAATCATCGTAATTGTCATAATTATTATTAGCCATGCTAATAATATTAGTCCTGTTGGCGTAGCGTGTGCTCGTTGGTGCGCTCGAGGACGATTTCGTCCTGCGTTTGTGGTTTCGTTTCGCCCCCGTTTTGATTTCTTCAAGTACTTTTCTTTAGTGGTGAAGAAAAAATCTAAAAAATAAAACAAAAATTTTATTGAAATCCGGTGGATCGTTAGCAGCTAATTACAGATTGGAAAAAATAAACTTTATGAGTATGACTATGCCCAAAGGAAGTATTGTTGCATGCAGGAAAGGGAAATAAAGTAAAAATGTAAATTTAAATGTAAAGTAATGTAATGTTCGCGTGCCAGGCGCGTTTTTGTTACGTGCGAAAGGATTTCGGGCTGGATTAAGGACGCAAGTTACTGGGACTGGCAGCGCAGGGAACGATCGTAATGAGTGTCCTAATGAAACCATTAACGCTCGCTTCAATTTGCATAATCTTAATGTAGTTTAATATACATATTGTGCACGAATGCATAGTTTTAGCTTGTAATGTGTTTTAGTTTAATTTACCATGTTTTTAGGCGTATTATAGTAAAATTTGTTGGTTTTTGGGTACACCCTGTATTGAAAAGGATTAATATCCTGCCAAACTATCATTATAGCGGTGTACAAGTATATTTGTGCTGTGGGTATCGATTTTTTCGTGATGAAGTTTTAATTTGGGTTTAAATTTATTTTTAATTATGTGCAGCAGCACAAAAACTAAATAAATAATTATTTATAATTATTATTATTGAGAGACCGTGACGTATTGGACCTGGACTTTTTAAATAAAATATTATGAATATCAAAACATCGCGTGTTAAATAAATGGAACAAACAAGTGGAAGTATTTTGTTGTGATGTGGACTTTTATTAATTACTCGTTAATTATGTGGTTTACATTTAGGATTTCTTCAGATTAGGAACGGTATTAAATTCTGCGTCTAACTGTAGAATTATTTTATCGATCAGATTATTATTAACAAAGTTATTAACAGTTAAAGTTGATTTTATAGAATAAAAAGTATATAATATCACTTTGATTTGACTTTTAATAGTTTTTAATTAATTACTCCAAAACTGTTTCAGTTTTGCTCTTTATTTTTTAGTATTTGATTCTGGAATCAATTCTACTATAAATTTGAAAGAATTGTATCGATATGTTGATTAGTTTTAAAGTTATAAGCAATTAAACTTTGTACTAGATTTTTTGGTAAAATATATTAAATTAATATTAATTGGCTTGTAACTGCTAATTAAAAAATGATTATCTTTGAATTTCTACATAATTACATTGACAATTTAATACTCTATAGATTTTCTAAGAAATCATCACTATACCTTGATTGGTTTCCGAGTAATTAATAAAATAGTAAACCAATCAATCGCAAAACTCTAAAAGCTCTTTTGTGTTTCCTCGGACTATTCACTTTTTATTCCGAAGTAATTATCAATTTACGATCCGTTTTTCGCTGCAGTGTAATTCAATATGCAAGCATGCACGCTGCACGACGTCATTCCAACGTATGCGTACTCGTATGTGTGAATTAATTTTAAAACGCCGGCCGGCATTGCGATTCAAATTGAAGGTTGCCGAACACAAAACTCGAAAATACACATTACTCACCAAGAAATCACAATTTCGGTTTAAAGATAAACCATTAAATTCTTATTATTATTATCTTCCTTTTGTATCACTGGGCTTGGACTCGTGTTTACTGTTAATTAACCTTTGCTGTAACCGGACGCTGATTTTTTCCAGTAAATTAATTGACTTGACTTAGTGCCGGTTTATTAGTCGCCTTAGTTTAGGCGCTTAGTTAATTAGTTTCGTGCGCGACGCTGGCGCGAGTATGACTGAAACGAATCGCGAATATGTTCTCTACTACACGGATTTGAGAATGCACCGGGACAGGATATATACAGGGTGTATCAAAAACAAAGTAAATTAAAACTCGTAAAATTTTATTTTTTGTTGTTTAATTCTATTTTTTATTTAAAAATTGTATAAAAAAATATTTAGTTTAAATTTTTAAACATTTAGTATTTTTAAACAATGTTGCGGCTGTCTCCTAGGCATTTGGCCATTATCCAAAGATGATGACGTAGCGCCGAAATAGTGCCGGATCGAATCACCATCGTGGTTTCACAGTGACCCTTGTCTGATAAAAATAAATTCACATTCATGTGCTGTACGAGTACTTAGCGTAAAAATGCTCTCAATAGCAATTTCGTACGCCAATTTTCAAAGTTCATTCTTCATTGCAAATTGTGTATAGCATGCAGTTTCCTAAAAGAATGAACACTAGAAAAGTTGTAAGCTTTTTTGGCACATTGCCGTCTAGGATGCTTGACGCTTGGCAATTCAGTTCAGATTATCATAATGAGGTGTGGTGATGATGATGATCATTCCCCGTGGTGTGTCTCCGACTTACGTCAAACAATTCTTAGTCATCGTCCTAATTCTGATGGTGATGGTCGCAAAGTTTTGAAAGTTGAAAGTTTCAGAAACTTCTGAAACAGTTTTTCAATGTGGAAAGTTTTGAGAATTTGCCAAAAATTACCGAAATATTGCTCATACTCGTAAAGTATTGTTGATAAAGTGATATTTAGTCATTTATCTCTGATGTCATGCCATGCACAATTAACACGCCTGTATTTTCACAGGGATATCGTAACGAGAGATTATTTTCTTATTTATAGTGATAATAAATAGGTACTGATAAGATAAGAAAAGTATTATTAGTAATATTTTTACTGGATTCGAAATGTATCGCACGATTTTATTACAAAATACTTGTTATTCTGAGTTTCCGATTGAAACGGATGGATTCTGATTGAATTTCCTATTAAAAAGTGCTTTATTGTGAGCATGTGAGATTGAGCAATCGAGGCGTAATGTATGCAAAGCTTCAATATCCGTAACAACCCTCAGAATCATCCCTAACTATATCTAACATATAATATATTAAATAAAATTGATTAAAAGTAGATTTTTAGGTGATTTTAATTCGAAATTGATGAAATTTCAGTTAAAACAATTATATTTTAGTTTAAATCATTAAATTTTATTAAATTTCTTATATTTTGTGCCTAAAAGTCATTTTAATATTATTTTAAAGCGGAAATTATAAGAAATCAAAGAAATCCCTAACATAATTGTGATTTTCTTCTCAAATCCTCTGTTAAATTTTATCAATATCGATGGAAACAGTGGCGACGCCGACAGATTGAGTCCAAATCCCTCCACCCTCAATCCTTCTGCTTCTGCCTTCCCCCATATGCAAACAGCAACCCACGATGCGTGAAAGCTCGCATTGTGCTTTTCTGCACGATTACACACGCCGCGATTATTAGACCAGCCTCAAGCTACGCGCATATTCGTATTATTCGAAAACCGAATTCACATCCGTCGTCCGAGCAAATCCACCCACACACTCTATACTTTATATAAACATACAAAGCTCAAGGCAATACCGCCACCGCAACGAGACGGACTTGTATACGTATATACCTAGCATTTAATATTTGATATCCATCCTTTACTGTAGACAATACAATACAGCGCATCACCATCACATTCAGCGGTAATTTATTTATGCATAAATGGTTTTTAATAGCAGTCGTACAACCCTTTACGATCAACCCCTATCCGATTGGAGGTGAACGACGCCCGATGCGAGTATTAAGCGAGCATCAGGTGATTAATATTAATTTCGGCTGTGATTATTAATTACAATAAAGGTGGAATTACGAGTATTACGTGAATTAACGTATTACGGGCATTTATGTTCGGTTGAGTATATTAATTATGAGGCTGGCGGTTCGTAAATCGATTATTTGTATTCATAAAAACTAAAAATAAAAATTAAAAATTTAAATTAAAATTAATAATAAAAAATTGTTTTATAATGAGTTTTACGAAAGAAGAGATTTTATAACGTTATAGAGAGGTGACGTAACACCGAGGAACAAAAATTAATCAATTATTGGGAAGAAATGAAAATATTTTTGTCGTTACACAGACTATCTTTAATGCTACAACGAGAAAATTAATATAAACCAACCAAAAACTCCAAATTTCGTCGTTTTACTGAGTTTTTCGTAAAATCAAACCATTTTAAAATGTGTTTGTGCTTTTTTGTAATACTACACTCTGTATATTTTCCCTAACAAAATGTTTGGCATGTCTCCTCTGATCGTAGCGAAGGTACAGCAATAAATTATGGATCCATTCATCCGACGCTGCTCTCTAAGCGCGTTATAATTTCATCAATGGCGCCTTAATGCGCCCCGCTTTGCGAAACGTATCCGGGCCAATCTCACATTTACCTTACGCGCGCACCGGCTTCTATTACCTACATTTCTCACCCTTCGTTTGACGCGCGCCATCTCGAGATCGAGATGTTCCAATATCGACGGGCACTTATCCTTCGATAATGACGTTTTCCCATCAGAATGAAACCTGCTCACAAGCTTACCAACTCACACATCAGAGGCTTCCTATCCAGCATAAAGGGTTGTTACGAAATCAAAGTAGGATTTGAATTTCCAGCTTATATTAAATTTTGTCGAAAAATATTTTTTAGATATTTATAGATAAAAATTGTAATATTACTATTACGTGACTTGTGACATGATAACTCTTGCTCTGACAGACACGGAAGCACTGCTTTCGCTCGCATTAATGCACAAATCTCGCCGCCGTCGCCGACGCTAAGTGAACGATAATTGCGCGCCTTGCGCGCGCGGTGGCGGCGGTGGATGGTAGGTGCAAATTGAATTCGCTTCTCATCACGACGGCGGCAGCACACACCCACACTTCGCTACCACTCAGCCAACTCCGGGCTTCCATCAATTCCGGGCCGGTTTTAGTGCTCATTTAGTCATGCCTCGAGTTTCAATTTCGCTGCGCTGCGCTTTTAGAGCGACAAAACGATGAAAATCAAATAAAAATCAGGGGGCGAGAATCACCTCGAGCGGAAAAGAATTTTCTCATTAAGACTCAAGACTTCATCCTGCTGGGTTTATATGATTAGTACCTAGATTTTAAATCATTAATAATCATTAACATTTGGTGTGTGTTGTTTGTGAATTAAGTCAATTCCCATATGGATTTTCATTGTTTCATCGCAGCAACAACCGGTAATTATTCAGGCTTTTTAGTC